GGCCTAGACCTTTCAGCACTTATTTCTGTTTGGCCCTGGAAGGGTTGGGCCCAGATCCAGGAAGGTACTTAGGATCTGACTTGATTTCAGTAGGGTATAGATTTTTAGATTTATAAATGGTGCTTTCATTCTTTTTTAAGATGGCCCTGAATTTGCTGATTTGTTAATCCCTGTGTATATTGGGAAATCTATTTCATGCTCTCCCAAAATGGGTTGGCAACTGATGACAGGCATTTCTGAGGTTCTTATGAGGTTTCTGGTTATCTGCCCTCAGTGTCATGCTGTGCTTATACTATGAACACATAGTAAATGTCAGCTTCTAGGGCATTTCTTGCATCTAAAGAGCCCCACAGTACAAAAAACCAGACGTAATTAACTGTCATGAGTGTTGTTTTCTGTGCCAGTTATAATTCTTCAATTTGCTTCCAACTGGCATGGCCTTCTCTGGGTCCCTTTGTGCTGTTTCTGGTCCACTAGGTCTTATATCGGAGAATTTGGGAATGTTGCTGTTTCTCTACCTGAGTTTCCATCGTGAGATCCCTTCAAAATCGCTTCTGCAAGTGCCTGTTGTTTCTTTCCATCTGCTCTTTACAGAGTTTCTGAGGCCTGTGGTAGGGTTGGTTGCCTTTGGAAGCCTGCACTCAAGGCTGTCCTTCACATCGGGATATTTTGGGAATCTTCCTGGTGTTTAATTGATTTCCTGATCTGTCTCAATGAGCCTATTTCAGGTACGTTCAGCTCTCCAAATCCACAGCTCTTATGAAATTATGTGGTATTTCACCCTTCTTGTTTAAATAAATGAAATAGTGTCTGCTCAAAGAATACATTGCGTCATGGTATGAAATATTGATCTCAGCCACACTGAACCTCTTAGTGAGGACAACTGTGAGGTTTCCAGAAAGATCCTCTGATGAGGGTCTCACTGCACAGAAGAAGAATGAGTGTGCTTCTCTGTTTCCTCATCTGCACTAGAAACTGTGTAAGATGTCCTACTCAAATAGAGGGATTTAACAACAATTTGAACTGTATTTAGAAGAAACGGGGGTCTGTTTCCTAGATGTCTAAGTTTTAGCAGATCATAGGGCTCCCTCTTTTTAAATCATTGTAATGCTGAAAAAAATGGCATAGCCTTAAAGAAAGCCAACTGGTGTTACTGTGGATCAGTTCTTAACCTCTTTTTTTTTTCTATCTTTACTACTCACAGTCTCAACCTGCCATAGCTGATTGCTTTATGACTTCTTGTCATTTTAAGCCTTTTCATGTCCTCCCTGTGAGGTTTTTCTTGCAATGTGTCACTGTTTCTTTTCTAATTTTTTTTCCTTTCCCTTTTCCTTTTATTTTCCCCTTTCCCTTTCCTTTCCCTTTTTTCTTTTCCTTTTTATTTTCCCTTTCCTTTCTTTTTTTAATTCTTTTTCTTTTTCTGAAAATGCCTTAGATTTTGATTCTAGTTACTTGTATCTGATACCACATAGAGGTTGCAGAGATCATGGACATCAAATGAGCCAGAAGTTTCTTATTTTTATCCAGACTTATTAACCAGCTGGTGCATGCTCTGAAAATAGGATTTTTTTTACAAAAACTTTCCAAAATCTTTATATTTCCTAATCCAGACGTTGGATCAATGGATCATGGTCAGGCCTCAGCATACTGCAGGTATTGCCACAAGGTATTATTACAAAACTTCTGTCTCACAGATCCCGGAATTTCATCACTCGAACTCCCAAGTGACTTCAGGTTACCTCAGAGACAATGTGGTAGTGCCATCACCAGTGTTATTACTGTTCATTGTCTCCGAAGAATCTTTTGAAGGGCCCCTAATCTAATCTAAAGCAGAAAATATGATCTCGTTTTTAACCTTATTACTATTAGCAGGCATAAAGCAAGGCTTAAAAAGATTTGAAAATGGTCAATTCCAGTTAATCTTATTCAGGCTATTTTCCTCCCGCTATCCTAATCTAGTCTCCAAACTAATTGCAGTAGTCACTGCAGTCCTCCTAATGCCCATTTTCTCATTAAAGATTTGTTTAATTTTCCTTCTTCCCATTTTTCCAAAGTCACTTTTGAAAGAGGGAAAAACTGCTTTGGATAAAGCAAAGCTGGAATGGAAGCAAGGAACCTGGATGCATAACCCACTCTAAGTAAGGATGCAATAGTAAAACTGCTGTTAATAAGATAAAAACACTGTCAGACTTTCCTAAAACCCCAGTTTTATCATCAAATCCCAGCACACCCCTTCCTCCCTGAGCTGTGACTGCGTCAGTCCTTCTTAAACACCTTTTTCAGCTCAGCGAGAGGATTTTTGGGTCGCTTCTCAGGTAATTTGGCTGCTCATTTTCTGTTTAGAAGCCCAGGTTGCTCTGGGTGGGGGAAGGCGGCTGTTTTGCTGCTGCTTTTAGGAAGAATTTCTTCCCAAAAAGGGTGCTTAGACATTGGAACGGGCTGCCCAGGGAGGTGGTGGAGTCACCGTCCCTGGAGGTTTTCTAGGAAAGCCTGAATGTGGCACTTAGTGCCGTGGTCTGGTTGACAGAGTGGTGTCGGGTTGGACTCGATGATTTCAGAGGTCTTTCCCAACCTAACTGATTCTGCGATTCTGTGCATTTTATCTTAAAACGGGCAATTTCGGCATCGCCTCGGCGCTGAGGGGACCCACGGCGGGACCCCCACCCTCCCTCCGTGCGGCATGAGAGCCCTGCTCCCATTGGGCACACCTCCCCCGATCCGGCCGCTCATTGGCCGGCAGAGAGAGGGGCTTGAGAAAGCTGTGCGCCGATTGGTTCTCCCTGGCGTCGGCTCTTCCCCCGCGAGGAGAGCGCGCTCTGGGCTGATGTGGGGCCAGGCACGCCGCAGCCAATCAGACGCGCCGACGTCACGGCCGCCGTGCGCCGCGCGGGATCCGTCCGCGGGGCGGGGCTGCCCGGCCCTGAGGAGCGGCGGCGGGTCACGGAGTCACGGAGTTAGTGCATCGATTAGGTCGGAAAAGACCCCTGAGAACATCAAGTCCAATCTGTGACTCAACACCACCATATCAACCAAATACGCGGCACTGAGTGCCACATCTAGTATTTCCTTTAACATCTCCAGGGATGGTGACTCCACGACCTCCTTGGTGGTTCCAATGTCTAATCACTCATTCTGTGGGGAAATTATTCCTAATGTCCAAGCTAAACCTCCCCTGGTGCAGCTTGAGACTATGTCCTCTCATTCTGTCACTTATTGCCTGGGAGAAGATACCAACTCTGACCTGGCTACAACCTCTTTTCGGGGAGTTGTAGAGAGTGAGAAGGTCCCCCCTGAGCCTCCTTCTCCAGGCTGAGCCCCCCCAGTTGCTCGTCATAGGACTTGTGCTCCAGACCTTTCACCAGCTCTGTTCCCTTCTCTGGACCTGCTCCAGCACCTCAATGTCCTTCCTGAACCGAGGGGCCCAGAACTGGACACAGCATTTGAGGTGTGGCCTCACCAGTGCCAAGCACGGGGGTCAGTGGGTGGCCTCATGTCCACCCTCCTGGGCTGTGACCCCCTTGGGGAAAGAGTGGTGGGGGTGCCTTGGTAAAAATGAGGAATCACAGCTTTGCTTCCAGTCCTGTCCAAAACCTGTCCCAAAGCTCACCTGTACCCCCAGAGCAGGGCAGGCTGTTTGTCAGCTGGGGGTAAATGGTGTGGAGGGGCTGCATGAGGTCTGAGGTCTGTGGTGGGGCAGGAGGCAAAACCCTCCTGGCTGCTGCCCTGCACGTCCTGTACCAGTGTTGTACCCACACAGGTTAACACTCTGTCAGTGTCATAAACACCTTCACAAACAAAAAGGGTTAAAAATAAAAGTCACAGAGAGATGGGCTCTCCAGCCAGTTTCCCCACCACAGGCTGTGGATCCCAAGCCCGCTCCTGTCCTGCCTTGTCCCTTATCTCTTGGCAGGTGTCTGGCTGTGGATTTCACACTTCCATTGACCTCTGAGTGCTGCCAAGGCAAGGGAGGCACAACAGGCAGATAACGTGTCCCCGTTCCACCCCAGCCTCCTCAAGGCCTATAGCTATGGGGATAGTTATTTAAAAATATGCCAGATGTAACATCTGTCTCTAGGCAAATAAACTGTGGATTGTTTAAATCACGTTTCCATGGTCTCCACATTTTATAAAGTACTTGCATTCTGGTAGCACAAAAATCTAAATGACATTTAGAGCAAGTATACGATCTACTACGTGTATTTTACTTTCATATACAATATGCCTGTATATAATTTACCATCAAACTCCCATCTTTTGAGTCTTCTATGCATTAGAAGCGAAATCATAACCTTGAAAATAAGTTACATAAGCAGCACGGATACCCCGTGGAATCGTTTAGATTGGAAAAGATCTTCAAGATCACCGAATCCAGTAGTGAATTTCACATAGTTAAGTGCTTCATTAATGCCAATTCCTGGCTGAAATCACCGTGACAGCCACTAGCAGAGGTCACACTCGGAAAGCAGAGTAGCAATAGTAGCTTTTAATCCAAGGTGCAAGCTGTGTAGGCAGGGAGCATTGCACAAGCACAGCTGGGATGGTGAGGCCATGGAGAGACGCGTTTCTTGCCTCATTTTTAGGTCAAAGACACTTGTTGCGACTTCTTCAGGCGTCCCTGGGGGAAAAAAAAAAAATTAATAGAGCGGCGGTGATTTCTCAGAGATCCAGTGAGAAGCGCGAAGCGATGGTTCCTCCCGGTGCCTTCACGGCGTCTGGTGACCTTTAGAGGTGACAGGGACCGAGCGCCGGCTCCCGAGTGTCCGGCGCGGCCGCTCCCCCATTCATTCCGTGCCCGCGCTCCCGGGGCCGGCGGAACGGGTGACCCCGCACTGCCCGGGCGGGCACCGGCCCGGCCTCGCCGCCCCCCCCGGCCCCAGCTGCCCTCGGTCCCTCCGGTCCCCGCCGCCCCTGGGCGGGGCGGGGCGCGACGCCCCGCACTTTTTTCCCCGAGGCGGAAGGTTACGGAGTGATGCGATCGGCGACGCCTTAAAGGGTGCGCGCGGAGGAGGGGCCGCAGTCAGTGCCGAGGCGAGGCGGGTGTGTGGGTCTGTCGGACGGTACCGCCGTTACCGGAGCCCCGTGGGACGGGCGGTGCTTGTCTCGCTCCTCTGCCGCCACCATGTCGCGTGAGCCCGAGATCATGGAGTCGCAGGTGATGTGGGAGCCGGACACCAAGCGCAACACCCACATGGACCGGTTCCGCGCCGCCGTGGCCAGCAGCTACGGGATCCGCCTGGGTGAGCGCAGGGCGGGGGCGGGCGGGCGCTGCTCTGCCTTCTCCGGGCTGGCCTCACTGTGGGGCCGCGGTGGGGCTGGGGGCCATCCTCCTGCCTCTCAGGTCTCGTATCCCTTGGGTGCGCGGGCACCCTTCGGCGCAGGAGGGTCACAGTGGTCCAGGCGGGATGCTCTGCTGGAGCCTCAGCCAGAGGCCTCCGGGGCAGCATCCGCTGAGTGAGAAGGTACGTGCTGGTGGGAAAGGCAAACAGCCTTATCTGCGCCTGGTGCTGCGGCTGGATGTCAGCTCAGGCAGCGCCGGCATCGCTACCTGCGGCGGCTCCCGGAGTGCAGGGAGCTGCTGGGGCCAGGAGCAGCACTGGGGTGACTTGGTGTTTTAAAGGGATGTGGGAAGAGGGGATCACTGCCGCCATGGCTGGGAGGTTAGTGTAAGCCTTGGTTTGATGCTTTAACGACATAGGTGTGTGAGATTTAAATTAAGGCCATGTGCATCTTTGATTAGGGAGAGTATGTTTTTGTAATATTCAGGTATGCTGGGAGGTGAAAGGTGATGCCTAAGCTTGTTCAGTGGTGGAAGATAAGGGTTTTTTGCTACGTATCTACCAGAGTTTGTGAACTGCGAGCTCTGCTTTGTGCTTGTTCAGGAATACCTGTATGGCTGTAAATAGGTGTGTGTGGTTCTTTGACTTGGAAACAACGTGTTGGCTTTGGGATGAGCTGTGCTTTGAGCAGGGGTTGGACTTTCAGGGATGTTTTCAACCCATAATATTAGTTTTTCAATGCTTGCTGACTGTAGGTCATGTCTCCAGGGTATCAGTGGTTCTGGCTGTGTGAGCTCAGCCACATCATGGACGAGGTCAACTTCAGTGCATGTGTGGGTCAAACCCTCCAGTTCTGACTACCTTGTTTTCTTCCTAAGTGTTTGAGGGCCAGGTTGCTTGTGTAGCTTTCCTGTGATCACTTGTCTGACGGGGGATTAAGGGAATAGTTTTGGTAAGTGACCTGAAAGTTTCAGTTCAATGTAGATGTCAGTGGTATGAGCAGAGACATTCTGGAGTGGTAGCAGTGTATATAGTGATTCCTGCAGTTCATGTCCAGAAAACAATTCCTCACCTTGATTGCTATGTAGGTAAGCCAGGTCATTATTTTGACTGCTGGTGATTTCCCCTGGGAAGGCAAATGTATAGTGTCTAACTCTCCTGCTGGATAGGAAGCAAGTTACTACAGTGTTTTAGCCAACTCCTGAGTGAAATGTGATGTAACTGGTACTCATATGATCAAGAGTGAATGCAGTTTCAGATGGGCTGCCTGTGTTTATGGCTGAAACAACTAGAACTCTTTTCATCCCACTTTGAAGTGGCTTTCCCCATTGGAAAGTGGATTGCTCTGCATATGTAGAAAACCTTTGTCAGCCTCCATTGGATTTGCACTGGTGTTCACTGGCCTGAGTGCTATTCAACAGCGAAGAATGGATGCTTTATATAACCTTAAGATGTGGACTCTCTGAGGAGAGCTAAGGGCAGTATATCCCTTTAAGCAGCATGGCTCTGCCTGGCCCTGAAAGTGTAGTAATAAGATGCAATGTTTAACTGCTGAGTAACAGGCCTGTGCCCTGAAGGACTTGTGTGCTGATGCTTATTTGGAACAAACTGTATGGACAAAACAGAACAAACTGTTCATACTGTGAGAAACCAAATTAGTAGTGACTTGAACCTTTTTGCTTTTATCAAATTATTTGGAGCATGTGGTGCAGTTTGGTTTTGAAGGGGGAGATGGCAACTTAAGCTCTTCTTGGGTAAAGTTTTATCTCCACACAGCTGATGTGTGATGTGCAAGATAGTAACTGGGGTGGAGTGTAAAAAGAGTATATAGGAGTCTGGGATTGAGGCAATATGTAGGCAAAACATGATTTATGGAGAAGTCTTTGCCTTTTTCTGTGTCAGTAACACCTATGGAATAATCTCACACTGATGGAAAGGGTTGAGGTGGAATAAAATGTTCAAGGGACAGACTGGGTGAGGAAAGTGCTGCAGTGGCCATGTGTAACAGTGCAGAGGTAGTTCTCAATGTTTTTCTCTTACAAAGCTGGAAGGTGTCCTCTTTGTAGGAAGAGGATGCAAGCTGGCTTCTGAAGCAGTTGGCTGGATAACAGGATGACAAAGCAAAGCTAATTGGTGAAAATGCTTCTGAGTGGTTTAGCTGAAAGCATCAAATAGGGCACACAGTTGGCAGAGCAGGAAACTTATTCTCACTGATGGCAGATATTCATATTTAATTGGTTGTTGGCACAGCTTCAGACAGCATGGACATGATGAGGGAATGTCACTTTCAGGCTGGTGATGTGGCATCAGCTTCAGTTATTCATACTTAGAGCTGTTTTACACACTGAATTTTGGTATTTAGTTTGAGTTGTGGGGTTTTCCTATGCATTCCTCAGGTTACTTCATCGGTCTCACAATCATGTAAGACTTTAAACATGGAAATGAGGAGTTTATTGCCGGGTCATGCTTTAATATCTAGCTAGTAAACATCTTGTTTCACTTCATTCATGCTTTTTCAGCATGAAAAGGTAAGCTGCAGCCTGTCAGACCCCATATTTACTGGAAGTTAGGCATGCTTCCTCTAACAGTCCTGTTGATACCACAGCTGGACAATGAGTGTCACATAATCCCCGTGTCACTGAGCTCTCAGAGGTCTTTGGCCCCTGACTAGAACCATATAGCAAGTGTCCCTTCTCAGGAAGTCTTGTTTATCTTTTGCTGTGTGAACATATCATGTTGATATGATAAGGGAGTGAAAGTGTCAGCAGATGGGACTCTGGCCCTTTGATCTTCAGCTGCACTGATGCAGGAGGAAACAGAGTTACTAGGAAAGGTTTCTGTCTCTGTGGTGGCAGATAGCTTGTAACAGTGAGGTGAAGGGATGCCATGTGTTCAGGTTCAAGTAAACTCTGCTGTAGTCACTTGCCTTGAACTGAAGTCATCTGCTCTGTGTGGTCAGATTTATCTTCCTGCTTGTTTTAGCCACAGATTTTCTTTATCCAGGACATCCCTAATTGTAGTTTGTCTGAATTCCTGTAATTATCTGCATAGTGCTCACACGTATCTATTACTTCCAGCCAACTATGATGACTTATACCAGTGGTCAGTGGAATCCTACTCAGACTTCTGGGCAGAATTCTGGAAGTACAGTAACATCGTATGCTCTCGCCTGTATGATGAGGTAAGTTGAGTGTTTATCTTACAGTAAGTGCAAAACAAACAGGAAATAAAGTGGTTTCACACTCGATCTTTTGACCTCTTCTTTGAACTCTTGCAAGTGATATGAGGAATCTCTTAGATGTATAGCCCTGAACTTCCTTGTGTGGTGGATGGTGGTGTTCTGTTGCTGGTATGCTTTAGGACAGTGAAATCCTCAAGTTTCATTGTCCTAAGCGTTTCTGCTGTAGTGTCCTTGTGTTCATGTGCTCTTGCACACATTATCATTCCTGGCTTCTTGTGAGGAGTCTATCAATACCTGTCTTCTGCTTTAGCATCATGCTGGTAGAATACCACCTTGGTTTTGTAAATGCTGGCGTGCTGTCAAGTTCATGTTTGACTTCCCTGAGTCAGCTTACCTGATAAGCACACCTGTTACTCTCTGGCTTTGTAGAACTGGTTTTGGAAGCTCTGCAATCAGGCTTGAAATATTTCTGAGGGAATGGTAGTGGTTGAACACTGTCACGGTGCAATACTAGAGTGTGCCACACAGTTGCTGTGGGATAAAGGTGGCTCTGAAGCTCTTGCAAATGGAGGGGAAAGCTGAAGCCCTTTTATAGTCCTAGTGTAGGATATCAACATCACCCTGTAGTTTTCCATCTGAGGAAGGTGATGGATTGATTGCTTCAAAAGATTGATGCAGTGGAACCTTCCTGAGACTTAGTGGGGAGGACTAGACTTGTTTCTTAATCCCTGGAGGCCATCTGTTCTAAGAACCCTCAGAGTACTGGCAGTCCTGCAGAAGGGACTGGTAAGTTTCTTTTGAGTTCTTCTTCTGTTTTATGAATTTCTGTACTGATGTGATGGATCAAGTGGTTCTTCCTGCCATGAAACTGCTTTTTCAGGTGTCTTAATGTGACTCATCCTTTAGAAGAGTGAATTCATCAAGAATGTAAGAACTAGCCTGCTTTGAAGTGTGTAGTTGGAAGACTGTAAACACTTAATCTTTACATTTTCTATAGATGGTAACTCAAAATCTTGCCAGGTTTAATTTGGGTGCTGTCTGTTTTCTCTACATATTCTGTGCTCCTAGCAAGCCTATCCTAAATTTCCACATGAATTCAAATTGTCTTGAGCAAGCAGTTGAGAGCAAACTGGACAGTAACACTTGCTCTCTTGCCTTATACGACTGGTACTCCTGGAAGCCAGTCCCTCCAAATGCCAACAGTGGCTGATGCATTGGAGGGAAACTGGAGCAGGAGATGGTGCCCTAAAAATGAATGTTTCCTGGGGATGAGTAGCAAGAAGATGGGGATGTTTAGAAAGGCTTTAACTAGATTTCTTGTGAGCTGCAGGCCTGTGTTGTAGTGGTCTTGCTGTGATGTCAGGTCTTGAGAGAGGAGAGGGAGGGTCAGCTGGTGGACAAGGACTGCAGAAGATAGAGTCACTTGTTATGGATGTTGCTGTTTGCCTTTCCCTCAGTGTCAGCTTCAAGGCTTGACTCCTGCTTTGCTGACTTGCTGTGAGTCCTTGCTGTTGGTCCATTTCTGTTGTGTGTCAGGAGGAAAGGAAGGTCACAGTAATTGAGCTGGTTTGTGGTAGCTAAAGAGCTGAGAAGCTTGATTTAAGGTACCTTACAGCTTGATCCTGGCTGTCTATTGGAAGTAAGCATTATGCTTTGAGGTAAATAAGATTTTTCATGAACCAGAGCTAACTCCTTTGTTCCCAGCCAGTGGAACAGTTTATACTTGCACAGGTAATTCAAAGAAAAACAATAAAATGTTTACATTTTACGTTGTGTACATATAATATGAGCAGCCAGTGTTTTACTTAAAACCTTTACTAAGTTTAAATATTTGATGTAGACATGCTGTTGTCGCTCTGTAGCAATTGATATCCATGTCACTTGTGAAAAGAACATGGGTACTTGCAGTGTGCAAAGCTACACTGGCATGGCAGCTTTGGCATTGGCTTGTCAGGTTACAAGTAGCTGATTTTGAATAAGGAATGTAGAGTATATTTCTTTTTGCTATGAGAAGCACCTGACAGCTGTTTGTTGGTTCTGTGGAGGGGCCTCCAAGCCAGAGATCAGGTTGTTCATATCACAAAGTACCCTTACCAAAGACAGGGTATTAACTAGGAGTCATAAGTGTTACCTGGGGAGAAAATGCTGGAGCATCAAGTATTATATGGTTTTAGCACCTTGTGCTAGTGGAGCTCTTTGATGCTTTTTAAAGGATTTTTTTTTTCCACTTCAGGAAAAAGTAGTTATGTTGGATCTTGTCCTGGAAAATGTTGAAAACATTCTGCTCACTTTTCTTCAAGCTAAGGAAGTCATAAATGAGTCAGATCTAAGAGCAGCTTCTAATTGATGCAGTAATATATGTTATATATATTTATATATATAACATATATATATATACATATATATAATATTTATATATAATATAAAAAATATTTCTGCAGCCTGAGTTGATAAAGTGTAAATGTTAGAACTCAATTTTTATTTGTTAGGAGCGAAGAAATCTACATGAGTTCCCACTTTTAGAAAATACATTTGAAATAAAGTAATGCAGTAGAGCACTTGCACATGAGCTTTACCTTGGCTTATAAATTAATTTTAGGATTGCCTCCAGCAATACATACACTGCCCATCTCAAAGCACAAAACCATTAGGTTTTCTGGAATGGGAGGTATTTTGAGCTCTGCCTGGCTTTCAGAAGAGCCTTTCAATTGATTTGAAGGAATGCTGTTTTTATAGCGTATGTGCAGTCCACGAGAGAACCTGAGGGTATAAACTGAAGCTTTCAAAAACACAACTATAAAATAAAGTTTCTATTTAAAGATTTCAAAATACATGTGCTGCTGAGCAGTGGTGCATTTTGGAAGGAGTTTAGTCCTTTGGGGCTAATGCTTAGGGGCTCTTTATACTTATTACTGTTTTTAAAGGTACAGTCTTAACTGTGACTTATCAAGGGGTATATTAATACTTTGAGGCTTTATAAGTTCAAGATGGGGAAGTTATTTCAGCTCAATGTATTTTTGATGGCTTTTCATTGCATTTTTCAGTTCTTTGTATGTCCTAGTCCTAGATGGGGAGTTACTTAATATTGGTTTATTATGTTGTTGGACCCTCTTCATTCTAAAGCACGGAGAATTGGGTACATTTGACTATACAGTTCATTATTTTGAATTACCATTGTTTGAGTTCCTGGTGTTGGTCTCTACCCTGTGACTCATGCTGGGGAAGGGTGGGTGCTCACACCTTCCTAAGAGGGAGGCTGGGGACTAAGTCTTGTGGGAGTTTCCATATACTGCAGCTCAGCCCCTGTTTGGGGTGTTCCCAGAGGCTAAACCCCAGTGGTCACTGTTGTTTGCCTGTGCCTTGTGGTCTGGATGTTGTCACAGTGGTTTGCTTTGCTTGTGTATTAAAGGCTGGTCCAAAGGTAGAACTGTCAGCAAGGAACTTCTTTAAGTTTTGTTGTAATGACGTATTTGCTTGTGACAGTTGACAAATAATTAATCTTTCCAGGCCAGTAATTCCAGGATTCAGTGTCTGTCTGTCATCTCTAAGATGGGAGAAATTATTCTTGCCTAATGCAGTCTAAAAAGAGCTTGGAATTAATTAACTGGTTTCTCTGAAAAAGAAACTTATCTTAGAGTTTTCCAAGAATGTATTATGTATTCTTTCCAGGTGGTTGATACATCCAAAAGTATTGCAGATGTCCCGGAATGGTTTAAGGGCAGCCGTCTGAACTATGCAGAGAATCTCCTGAAGCACAAGGACAATGACAAGATTGCACTGTATGCAGCAAGTAAGAAAAAATCACTGGCTTATATTTATTTACAGTTCACAGGACTAGGCCTTGTGAAACAGCTCTGATGATTGAAACCTTGAAATAAACTGGTTTGGGTGAGGAGAAAAGAGGGTAGTGTGATCAGTAACTCTGCACAAGCTGTGACACAACTCTGCAAAAAATCCCAGCAAAACATGCTTTTAACAGCTACACAGTAGTTGTGCATCGTGTCCTCTGCTAAGGAGCTGCAAGACTCCATTGTTCATTGTTAAGCTACTAAGAAGCATCACTGCTTGGTCAGTCTTATGATAAGGATTAGGTCCAGCAAAGGGGAAGCTCAGAATACAGCTCCCTAAGGAAGCACTCACACACCTGCACAGAAGATAATCTCATCTAACAGATTAGAATCCGGTTTTTAAAGTTACCAAAGTCAGCAGACAATAAAAATCCCTTCTCTGTATCTCAACATTACCATCCTTATGGCTATGCACAGATTTTACTACACTTTAATCTTCAGTGTAACCAAAAAATTTAAGACTGAGTTTAGTTTTCCAGACAAGTGAAATTGCAAGTCCCCTGTGCACATAACTGTCCTTTCTGTATTGTCAAAAGCAGAGTTAATTCATACCTACACCCCATGTAGTCCTTGATATTCCTAAAATAAAAAACATAGGAAGAGGGTGGGAGGGACAATATCAGCAACAGTGCCAAAATACTTCCTGAAGGCAAGTGTTTATGACAAATGTGAAATAATACCTCAAATACTGAATGCTGCTAAACACAGCAGGACCTCAACTACCTTAATGCAGTTGAACACATTCTAAGAAAACTTCATTTCATCTGCCAAGGATTTTCCATAACTATCTGTATTCCCAGAGCACGTTTGATTATGTAGGTGTTGAAAGTCTTAGTTTATGATTTCAGATACATGGGAATCAGTTTTACATGTATGTTGCTCTTCTGATAGCTGTTTAAAAACAATGCATCACATAAGAATTTAAGTAGGTTTACTGCTGTAAATTTACTGCTGAAGAAATACTTATCAGTTGCATTTTACTGCTTACATGTATTGAAAGAAACCTTTCTGATCTTAGATATATATAAATATATATATATAAAATCAGCTACCAGTTCAGAGGGAATGGGGAAGTCTGTGACCCAGTTTTGGTGTAACAAGAATTGATTTGGTGAAGTATGATAGAAATGAGGCTTGTAAAAGGAAGGTGGCTTCAAAGTGATGGACTCATTGCTTTTGGAGTTTGAGATCATTATAAAAGCTTCTTATGTATTATTTAATGGAGGGAAAAAAAAATCAATGTAGTTAAGTACATCTTGTGGAGCACCTGAAAGCCAAACATTGATTAGTAAGCTAACTCTAAATGTATGTAGAATTGATGTGATTGATTTGTTAATGTTAAAAGCTAAATGTTCAACTTGAGAAAAAGTGGAGTTAAATATTGTCACTTTGAATTACTGAAGGAATTATTATCAGTTTAGTGAATTACTGCATTTGACATGGGGTTACATTGTCCCTAACAAGAAGCAAGACCTACAGGAAGTCATAGGTTGTACTGGAGATTCACTACTTTGTCTCACATAATCACAGGTGATGACACCAAAAAGAGCAAAATTATTTTCTAGTTGATTATTGAATCAGTACTGGAGTGAACACGTTGGTTCATCTGTGGTGAGCAGACTTCCACCTGCATTTCTTTCATGACCTTCTGCTGTGTTTAATCTTCTTAAGACCTCTTAAGTCAGAGTATTTTTTGTTAACCCCATGCTGCTAGGTCAGAGTGGTGGTTTGGGAACCTGGTTTGTGTTCCCTAGGGATGAGTCTGTGGGAGCAATGTGGGTGTTCTAGAGCACAGGAATGCAACTATAACTTTCCTAAACAATTTCACTTGTCACTGGTTCCCGCAGTGAGTCCTTTTTGTGATTCCCTTCTCCTGGGGCTTTAATCATGAAGCAAGATCAGAGTCCCATTTCCTGTTGTTCTGTGGGAACACAGACTCTGTTGGCAGTCCCTGCTCAGTTTATGAACTACACATTATGTGGACTTCTGTTGTTTTGCATCATGACCTGCTCCCTTGCTCTGTAAGTCCAAATTTATTGGTATGAAATTCTAAGAAGGCAAAAGGTTAAAAAATACTGTTCCCTGCTTAAGGCAATCAGACTGATGACAGCTGTTCTGCAAGGACCAAGTAGCAGGGTATGCAGCTCACCTTTCTTGTGACATCCTTGGCATATGTATTTCCCTAAGAAGTCCTGGATACTGGAAACAGGACAGGCCAAGTGGTTTGCAGAAGTCACATTGAGGAAGTACAGGAAGGGACCTTTAGGATGACAAATATTCCTTTTCATAACATTTAGATTTGTTCTTTTTGTTTTGCAAGTGATTTATTAACAGCTTATGTAACATCTGACATTCAGTACAAAAGTGAAAACACCCTGCAGATCCTTTCAGAGATGAATTGAGTCCAGGTTAGTTTGTTTGCTTTGTGCTATGTTGGCAAAGGCAGGTGTTTAAAAACATATTGAAAGTCAGGCCTGTATGTGCATGATTTTCTAGTTAGTGACTTACTGTAATATAACCTAAACTTGGCAGTTGGATTCTGCTTCCTAGAGCTAATGAGAGAACTGAGCAAAAAGGGAAAAATGATGTTATTTCTGTGTTAGACATTAACCTTGGTGAGTGCAGTCTATCTACCATGAATGCCCTTTGAGCACACATGTTTCTCCAGTGAATATTTTGTGGTTTTTGCAGATGTATCTGTTTTTAGAAATGTCCTTGTGCCTTTTGAATGAATACCACTGATTAATACTTGATTCCCATTAAAAAGAAAAGCAGAAGAGGAACTTAACAAGCAAAAAGTAGAAATATTAGTGGAAACTCTTATCTTAAAATTGCTTTGTATTCTTCCAGAACTAGTTGTTTGTACTAGACTCTGCTTATGTTACAATACCTAATTTCTGACTGGTTGCTTTAATTTTCTCTCCTCAGGGGAAGGCAAAGAAGAAATCTTGAAAGTTACTTTTGAAGAACTGAGACAAGCTGTAGCTTTATATGCTGCAGCCATGAGGAAGATGGGAGTAAAAGCAGGAGACAGAGTTGTTGGTGAGTAGTTTTTTTGTCTTTTTTTTTTAAAGGACAGGATGTGGAATTGTTTTAAATATGCAAGTGAGTAGTTGAGTTATAGAAACCTGAATATGAAATACTATTTCACAGAAACTGTCTAAAGAAAAGGCCCTTATGCTGCTGTATTTACATTTGTAAGAAATATACTTCTAGAGGGAAGGAACCTGGATTAGCCTGTAGGTTCTCTAGCACTGGAGGGGGAAGGAAAATACCTCATTCAAAGCTTCACTAAGGTCTGCTTCATAAACACTCTGTGGAAGCAGAAGTGAGAGACTTTGCATCTCTCTGAGCCTTAACTCACAAGGTCTGGCATATTTAGACAGGAGTGGTCTGGGAAATCATGGTCCCAGGTTGGTTGTTCTGGTGCCAGCTGGCAATTCCTGACCCTACAGCCCTGGGTAATCTGGTGCTCTGTGAACTGCAGGTCTTGAGGAGTGGACTTGTACTGCCTTCTCCCACCAGGGCTTTTGGGAGGAATCTCCTCCGGAGCGGTGGTGGTGAACAGCTGGTGGGCAGTAAGCCTTCAAGTCATACCAGTGTGAAGATCAGTGGTTAGAGCCCTGTGATCCTTTCAGTATCTCACCAGATCCTCTGCAGTCATAAGACTGTGATGTAGATTTTTCTCTATAAACAGTTTTTTGTCTTGTGAATGGCTTGTACAGTCCAGGCATGGAAAGGGGTTACTCAGGCTGGTCTCAGTTCACTTATTTCTGAATTGCTGGTTTTGATCTTCCAGCTGAGCTGCTTCATCTCTACTTCATGTGCTCTGTAATTCTTTAGTTTTCTCAGCATAGTGCCAGTCAGAACTGCAATATCCTTGAAGCTCCTTGACTCCTACCTGGAAGTTCTGGTGTGTGTATCCGTCGTACTACTGGAATCACATGTTTTTGAGCAATACTTGGCCATTATCCCAAGTATGTGTAAATTCTTATGTGATGCAAACCCCAAGTGATGAAACTGTTGGTTTGTTTTCTGCGTGTTACAAGCTTGAACCTGTATCTTGAAAACCAGAAGGGTGTGTTTTTAAAGCCATAAGTATGACCTGAAAATGTAAAATAAACTCAGAGCTCATTTCACACATATGGTATAAGTATTCTCTGGAACTGGTAACTGAGCACTTAATTATCACAGCTGGTGGCTTGGTTTTTAACACAGAATTAGAGATAAATCCTTAATTGGGTATGAACCACCCAGTGAAGTTGAGGCTTGTCTGAGTGAAGACCAAGATACTCTAATTTCCATCTTAACACTTACCATGTTCTTATTTGACCACTTGTTGAGGAGCAACAGAGTATGTACTCTGTAGCTGGAGAAAACATGCTCTTGAAAACATAGCTGTAGTCTGTGCTGCTAATTATGCTATTATTATGACTTTAGTAACAATTCCTTTTAGTTAATGACTATCTTGTTTAGCACGTCTGCCTGGCTGCTGCAGGGACCAGGGATCTGTGTGGAGTGGGGCCCCTTGATCATTTCAATAGCTTAAGCATATCTGTATGAACAGCTGCAGTTGGTTTGTGGAAGAAGTCTGGCATTGTAGGCTTGGAGTCCTTACAAAGCCCTGTACTTTTGGTAACAAAAGAGATTAATGAATCTAGGCAGCCTCTTTTCCTTAAAATCACAGTGTGGTTTTGGGCTCAGGTAGAGCTTTTTACATTTGGAGTCTTCGTGTGTGTGTTTTCTTCTGGGCAGTTTTTTGCATTCTGCATTTTTCCCCTCTGCCCTCTTACCCTGGCTGGGAGACTCTTTTCCTTGTAATCCTCAGTCAGAGGAATCTGTATCAGTTGAGCTGTTGCGCAGTTCCCGTTCTTTCCCTTCCCCTGGTGCCCCTAGTCCCGTGCTCCTGACTCCCTGCTTTGCCTTGGGCAGGAGCCCACATCTAGGGAGAGTTTCCCTGTGAAAGAAATCCAATGGGATTTTTGACAGTAATCCCATTATTTAGATATATATATTTTGTTGCATTGGGTTTCAACTTCTTTCCTGTGTTTCTCTCCTATGCCAGAGGATACTGACAGTCCTTGGAAGAGCTGAACTGTAACATTGCAGTCAGAGACTGAGGCAATGAGTTGGGGAAGATGCTTCAAGTATTGGGTGGGAAAGTTTGAGTCCAATATCCTTTTGTGGTATCAAAGGTCAGGCCCTCTGAAGCTTGCCAAAATCCACTGGGACTTAATTTGTTCTGAAATTTATAGCAGATGGCAGTGGGAAGGGTGATTCTTCATTTGGCTTATAGCAGTAACACAGGGCATGCTTCTACTGCTTCTGAAAAATCAGCTTTTAAATAGAAGGGAGATATTCTATTAATTTTATTCCAGCTGCCTAACACTTAGCAAGCCTGTCAGGTTCTGATGCCCTTTAACACTTTCTCTTAACATCTTGAGCTGTTAGAATCACATATGAGAGCTTTTTAATGTTGTTTTCCTGTGGACTCCATCCCCATGCTCTACTGCCTCTAAGACAAGACTACTTTAACTTTTCATTACACTTAACATATCCCCTAGTTTGTTCAGTACAAGTTGTGGTTGCATCATGACAGTAATAGTATGTTAAAGTTGGAGTTGGGTGAATGTGGGTGGACAGGCAGTGGTGTCAGCACTCTTTCAGCTTGATTTCATCCTAGTCCTCCCTTTCCATCACTAAGGAGATGGCACTTAATAGTAAACATAATTGAAGCAGGTGTGTGGTGAAGTATTTCTTCCTCTAAAGATGTCTTGCAGTACTGTCAGCGATGACTGAGCAGTTGGAAGAGACATAGGTGCAAGCTGCACAGATCCACATGTGAGGTACTCCTGGTCTCCCCCTGGCCATCTGTTTGGCGAGTAACAATGACTGAGATAGGAATAAAATAAACCTGGGAGTGTGTTTCTCATCTCTGGATATGTTGCTTCTATTATATCCCTGTAGCCAGCTTTGCTCTGTTACAAGTCAGCAGTTAAAAACAATCTAATCTTCCCCATGTGTTCACACAAAAATATCCTCAACAACACATGAATGAATAATATTGTTTAGAGCTGGTATTTTATCTATAGTAACTGTATTAGCCCTAGTTGCTTACGTGGGTTTTAAAGCTAGCTTTGTAAGGAGATTAGCATGTTACTAATAGTCTCAGGCCACAGTAATGTTAGGTAGGATGTCCAACTTTAAAGTCCTACAGGAGTATGAAATGCTATGTTAACATTGAAAAGGGAAACTGGAAGTCTGGTCTTTGAATTCTCTTCTGTTTGAGAGCTGGTGTAGTTCAGTAGTACAAGACACTGAGAAGATGTTTTAGTTGTAGCTCTCTATTTCCTTCTTCCTGATGCGTTATTTCAATGCTCAGTCAAAGTCTCTGATGCAGGGTTTCAGTTCAATTTCTCTTTCATGCAGGTGACTGCAAATGTTTGGATACCTGTGCTTCTGTATATATATTTCTTCTACCTTATTAAGGCATTAGATACTTGCATGGCATGTGTTCTCAGCACTCTGAGAAATAAGACCTGTGACATAGTTTTCAGCATGATCATATAAAATTTTAAACTTCAGTTTTAACCTGTTCTGTTGGTGAAGTACTGCAGTGTAAGTGAACACATGTAAATGTAATCTCAGTGTGTGCTAGATAAAGCAAATAGCAACTGATAGAAAATGCTGTCTTGAGCAGATCAGGCTGTTAGTGCCTCTTAAAAAAAATCCAGACTGTTTTTAAGTTACCACTTGTCCTGCCTAAAGGTTTTATGTCAGGTAAAGTTTTCACTTCTTTGTCCTTATGGAGATTGCATACATCCTTTTAAGTCAGGAGGAGTGCTACTAGGGCCCTTGGTATGTCATACTCTGATATTCCTAGTTGATGAGTTCCCAACTCGTGTGTTTTGAGCCCTCTATTCAATTGCTTTTTAGTTCACCCAAAGTATGAAGATCCTTCTCTTTCTAGTAACAGAAGTTACTTTTCACCTTCTGTGAGGGGTAATTTAAGCTACAGAGATAAATACCTTTTGCAGCCTTTACCCATGTGATAAATTCTGGTTTTCTTAGCTGAAATATTGTATCAAGGAACATGGAGGCTCTAGTTAAATACCTGAACAAACATATGTTGAATATCTAAACTAGCAGTACCATTATTCTTCTGTAGTACAGAGCTTCTATACATAGCTCACTGCTCCGTGACTCCTGCCTGATGTTAAAATCCAGCTAAAGAAGTTGCCTTTTTCATCCTCTTTGTCAGCAACATTGCTATTTCTCCCATTTTAGACCCTTGGGACCTGTCAGCCCACTGAGTGCTTTGAGGAGTAAGTTGGTATCTCAAGGGGTGCAGTCAAATGCAGGGAGCTTTACACATGGCAGTTGCTGTGGTTTGTCTGCCAAACTCAGATGCGAGAGAGGGAGAAATCAATTTTTATAATAGTCTTTCTTATTTCTCAGAATCCTGTTTTAATCTGAAAGACTGGCTGGAGAAGTAGTTTGTGTCATTGAGGGTTGGGAGCTGCTGAGAGAAAAGTAACAGGAGCTCTTACATTGCTGTGTTTGGAGGATCTCTGGTCAGAATAGAAACATCTTTATTCATAATACCTGGTGTTGGGACAGATGTGAAATCTCGGTGATCAGGCAGCCTGGCTGCCTGCAGAGATTGGGTAGATACAGAAATGCAGAGTGAGTTGCTGTACATGTTTCATACCTTTGGGCAGTTTTGGCTGGTATCCTCCAAAACTCAACCACCACCTCAAAGGCAACTGACAAATGAAACTAATGATTTAATTGTCCGGCTCACAATAATCAGCAAAGACTTGTATTCTTGCCTTGAGGGCTTTTGTGTGGGAGTGGTGAAAAGGAGGATTGCTTATAATAGAACTGAAGCTTGTGAGCTATGGCAAGGTACCAACTGCTCCAAAGCAGGGAAAGAGATCTTTTAGTTTTCGTTGCACTCTGGCCCCCTGATCATCCCATCCAAGAAATGCTCAGTGGTAATATTTGGCATCAATTAAAGAACTGCTTTTGCATTCTTTAATCTGTTTAATGACATTTTAATCTGTTCAGGTTCATATATTTCAAATTATCACTTAGGGAGGAAGGTTTGTCTTAAAAGAAAAAAGTCTCTAAGATTTTGGGATACTGTACCCTGTTCATAAACCTTGACCCCAAGGGAAAAATAACAAAATAAATAATGCCTTTATGGGCATGAGATTTTGCTGCACTTTGTGCTTAAGAACTAAACTGAAGAAAACACCACAAGCTATAGGCAATTCTAGGGAGTAATTTATATCTTAGCATGGTAGGAGGCTTTTATTCACAGTTGTGTGTTTTCCAGAAATTGTTGTGCTTAAGTCATAATGCTGTTTTCAAAGTTCCTACTCCCAAAATCAAAGCTGCTTAGAGTAACTGAAGTGGCCATGCTGGTTTAAGAAGGTGATTTCACTGATTTTTTTGACTTGAAGTTTACTTTTTACAAAGTTGGAAAAGGATGGATTTTTTTTTTGTTTTTTTCAAGTGTTGTGGACAAACTGGCAAAAATCAAGCTCAGCATCCTCTTGCTTGATAAAGTTGATGTAACAGAAATTGCTGTTAAGATCTTGATTGGATGTACTTTTCAGGACAGGAACTACATAAGTATCTTTCTTTGAGAGGTGCCTTGTGCTGGTAAATGTGCAGTCCAAGATCTGTCAGTGTTCACTACAGATGTTAAGCAGGTGGAAAGCATTTTTATTGCCACTTACTGCCATTTAAGTTTGCTTTCAAATGCTGAATTCTAGTTAGGTGTTGGAGTACTGCAATTAGGTCCATTCTGTGCCTTTTTTTGGTTGCTTAGGAAGGGTGATCTGAAACTGCAGATCTTTGATCTACCTCAGTGTAGTTTGTGAATTCCAGTTGCATGTTTTCCTTTGGGTTGGATTCTGATCAGTGCAGAGTCAGTCTCAGCCACCCAGCACCTTCTGGAGAGTTGTTCAAGTTGAGCTTACCAAAACTCTTAACTCTTTTGACATTAATTTATTCTGTATGTCTTAATAAATTGAATTTAAAACTTGAAATCTTGCTGCAAGCTAATGAGAGAAACCTGAAGAGCCACAATAATGTAGGAATGTTCCAGGGCTTGTCCCACTATTATTCCCTTATCAGCTGAGACACTGGTTTTGCTTGTTTTGTGTTTATGATTCTGGCAGTATCTACCAGACAAAATTTAGCTTTGTAAAGCTGAATCTCTGCTGTAGAACTATTTAGAACCTTTCCTTCCAGATACTCCTTTCTTCTCCAATGGCTGTTCTTGCAGACCTGTTCTATTCCCTTGCATATGCTGTATCCTTATGTACCCTAATCAATCCACAAACTTTCTCTCCCAGCTATTCTTTTCAGTGTGCTGCTCTCTTATCCTGAAAGGCTCATTAATTAAGCAGAAACACTTATAAATTGGGGATAACCTTCTAGATAGAAAACCTGACACAAATATTTTTATAAATGGGTTTATTTCTAGTACCTTGTGTAACTGATTTGACTTCAAAGTAGGACATTATGGTTGTGTGGGGGACTTTAAATCATGCTTCAGTGTAGGATTTTGAATTTTTAATATCTGTCTACTGTATATATTGTATTTACTATAAGATTTGATGTTTTTGTGTTCCATCTCTAACCATCCCATCCCTGCCCTAGGTTACTTACCAAACAGCATCCATGCTGTGGAAGCAATGCTGGCTGCTGCGAGCATCGGTGCAATCTGGAGCTCCACATCACCAGACTTTGGCATTAACGTGAGTGGCCTCATTGCATGTGCAGAAAAGCTCTTGCTCTGTTTCAGACAACTGTGAAGGTGATAAATACAAGTGGCAGATCGATTCTGTTCACTTCAGTCTTGCTGCCACCTCCTGGCACAGCCAAGTACTCCGGATTTTTTTTCTGGCTACCACAAACTCAAACATGTCCTTTCAGTTGTCAGTAATGATTTTCAGCTTAGTGATTTGAATAACTTTGAATAACTTTGAATAACTTTGAATTCCAACTCACGTTGGAATATTTTCAGATGGACTCCATAGTCTTGGTGAGTTTTTATTATATTTAATATGCTAATAAGCAGCTGTTCAACTGAGTTGTCTGAAGTTTGGTCCTTCATCCCAGGCTGCTTAGCCACGTTCCAGGTTCTTTGCCTAAGCAGTCCCATCCTTTTCCTCTTATGTGGGTAAACTCAGCACCATCCCGGTTGGTCTCTTCCAGAAGGCTTTGTTTGCCAACAAAGTGGAGAATTTCAGGTTAATATCACTAACTTTGTTTACTTAAGTGAAGAAATAATTTTTTGCTGTATTTCACACACAGCATTATCATGACATCCAAATAGATATGCCCTGGAAGCTTTGGGAATATATTCTGCTTGCATTGGGAAGTCTTTACCACCCATCAACAGATACAAATTACTTCCACAGTAGAGTGTTGAACCTTTCTTCTATCTAAAAGTTGACATGACAGCATTTGGAGAATGTGCTGTTGGTGCATTGCAGGGCACAGAACACCAAGGCTTTTAGGTAGTACCCTCAATTTCAGTGTTTAACCCCAGTGTCTGGTTAAATGTATGAAATGTGCTCCCTGGATTAGCACTAGAGGGCGGCAGCATTCCATGTTTTGGAAAAAAAACTGTTAAAAAATCATTACAGCATGTAACGATCAATCTGTTCTACAAATATTTTCTGCTTGCTCAGAAAATGACAGTATGGAATATCTTCTCTGCAATGTGATTTGATCTCTCATCTGGGGGGAGATTGTTCATTTTGCTTGCATTACAGAGGCCTGGTATGTTTTCTGTCCATGTTGATTTGCTGTTATTTTCAGTGCCCAGCTTTAAGTTTTTGTGATAGTTTTTTAATGAAACTTAGCCTTGGAGCAGCAGTGCCATCAATATCATTTATTCTCCTTTGGCAGCATGTGTTGGCATGAATTCAAACCCTAAAATCTTGAGGGAGATCAGCAGAGATCCTCAGACATATTGGCTTCCACCCTGAGGAAAACATATTCTTCCTTCTGTGCAGTTGCATTAATCCTGTTAATGTAAATGAAGATTTTTTTTTTTTTGGTTGTGTTTTGGGAAATAGTGTAGCATTTTCAACATTTCAAGTCCAATTGTGTATATATGTTTGAAGCTTAGAAATGTCACTTTTCAGAGCTGCCTACACACTGCAGTCTCTGAATGCCATACATCCAAAGGTTTCAAGCATTCAGGAAGTCTGCTGTCAGAGAACCAGTGAGCTCCCTCCCACACAGAATGCCACTCTTGGCAGCTCTTGCTTCATTTCTCTAGTCTCTGGTAATCCATTTCCATATATTAATAGGAAAGTGGTGCTCTGAGGCCTGTGTGTGAGAAATTGTTGGATATAAGAGTTTATAAAGGAGCTCTGCACTTAGAACTAGGTGAGAAACCTTTGGTGAGCCCTGGCACTGTCAGTGCAGCTCCATTTGTGGGATCCTGCGGAATTTCTAGTACTGGATTTGAGGCTCATGGAATTGAACAAGCCATATCTGCTGTACCTGAGCTTTTTGTGAAAGTGATTCCTTGCTGAGCCATCTGGTTGGATTAAAGTTCCAGTGTAGCAATTACATGTTCCATCTGTTTGTATTGCCTTTGTATCATGCCAGGCTGCCCTGTGGGATTTGATCCTGCCAGTGCTAATGAATCCAATGGAGTGTGTTAGCAGATTTGGTAAGACCCTGAGTATTGGAGTCATCTCTGTTTCTGATTCACTCCTCTTCAGATCTGATTCTTCTGTTAGAGTACCCTTAGTTCTCATTGGTCTTCACTTTTAAACACCAGGCAGTGTGGAAATGGGGTATATGGGCTCTGTGCTCAGCATGAGTACACACAGATACATAAATACACCCAGCACATGTGTGTGGCTGCTTTGTCTGTTCTTGGAAAAAGGTACAAAGAAGTAGGTATGATAAAATACCTAAGAAAGCAGGAAAGTAACTGTAATGTATTAATTAAATCTACATTTCTGAGTTTGTTAGTTAGGGGCCTCTTGAAAACAACTTCTGTCACTGAAGCAGATTCTGGTGATTTTTATTTTAAACCAATTGATGTATTTGAGTGTCAGTGCATTGTCACTGTGTTTTCTTACGATGTGAACAAGGAAAATGAAATGCATCTTTGATATGAGAGAAAGCTGTTAAGTGATATACTCAGCAGGGACAGTTAAATATTTATATTTAGCCATATCCCTCTACCTTACCTGTGGTGTTCAGTGAGCTTTCCTGAAGAGAAAGAAAGTCCATGGGAAGCTGTTAGGACAGGACTGCTGTGCCTTTTCAGGAGGCTTTCTTTCAACCCTGAGAAGTCCAGCTTGAAAAGAAGTTTAAGAGAGATTACTTGATTGTGATGTTTTTGCATTCATCTTCTAGTTTGGTAATTTGTTTCTCGTTTTGGCTGCGAAGTAGAAGATAAAATAGAAAACAGAAGAATAAAGAATGCTGGGAGGAGTAAGCACATAACTCAAGTCTGACTCTTGCAGCATGATTTAGGAGATTGTTCTTGAATAGTTAGCTGACAATTTTGCAATATTGAGTAATCTTATAGTTCTTAATGCTTCAAGTAATGTAGCTAGAGAGGTTTGAACATCACTGTGTGCTGAGTGCTTTTAATAAAGGATTTGCTTCTTGGTGTTGAATACAAAACGATTTATTTCTGGTAGGCTGTGTACATGCAGTGTACATGGGAAAAGTGTCAGAAAGGTTTTAATCTCAAATAGGATGACAGCTGTGATAAATTCCTGAAAAGAGTGTAAGCTGGAGGAGACACCTGAAAAATTAGCATTTGAATGTGCCCTGCCCCAGAAATTCTAAAGGAGCTGTGGTAGTTTTTGCTGGTAGCATAGGTGTTTGTTCAATATGCAGATTATTTTGATAAAAAAGAGTGGTATAGTTTCCTCTGTTAATTGTAGCAAAACAAAGCTGCCAGTTCAGGTGAAGTGCCACCTCACTCTATGATGAATGCATCTCCCACAAGACTGGGCTGTTGTTTCCCCCCATTCAGACCCCCAACACTGGTGCCCTGTCAAAGGCACCCCAAGGGCACGTAGAGCACCTGCCTGCAGGTGCAGCCAGGAGTCCTGTGGGCCTTGGTGGAAATGAGGGGCCCAACTCCTGCTCACATCGTTGTCCTCTTTAGATGAGTTTACAGCTGACTCTCAAGGTGACTTTTTTAGCTGCTTAGACAGCTTTGTGAGCTTGACCCTTCAGTGAAGAGTGTTCTGTGGTCTGTGGGGATTTTATCTGTATTACTGGTTGATGTATTTGGGGGTCATGAAATAGATTGTTACAAACCTGTTGTACTTTGGAGATCTTGTATGAATGAAAGCAGGCAGTCTTTTAACAACTCTCCTGTTAATTCCTGTCCTTACTCCTTGCTTGAATTGAAATTTGCATTTAGCATCCACTGAGATTTCCTAGCAATTAATTTCGGGGTTTTTTTCAACTTATTTTTCTCTTTGTCCCTAGGGTGTGCTGGATAGATTTTCCCAAATTCAGCCTAAACTTATATTCTCTGTCGAAGCTGTAATATACAATGGCAAAGAGCACAACCACTTGGAAAAGCTGCTGAGGGTGGTAAAAGGTATTTCACTGCATCTTACCTAGTCTTAGTTATACTGTAGTTCTCTGAGCACTCAAAACCTGCACTGACACTGCTTGTTGCTGTCCTTCCTTCTTTACCATATCACTGTGGTCACTTAGATTTTTCAAAACAGATTTGAGTAAAAACTGAGTGGTCCTTTCTGTAATTTTAACAATTTTCTGCTCGTTGAACTTAAATAGATCACCAGATATTAGTCAGCAGTAGAAACAGAGGAACAGGAGCTGATGATAGTGTTTTTAAGCTCAAGCAAAGTGCTGCTGAAGACAAATGAAAGAGGTATTAAAGCACTAGAGCTTGCAGATTTACACATAAAAGGCTGGCAATATTGAGGAAATTATATCTTGGGTAACAGTTTAATCTTTTGGGGTTTCAGTGCATCAGAATTATTTCTGTTACTTCGTGCATTACACTGTATGATTCAATCAGGCAGAAAAGACCTCTGGGTATGTAACTGAGTGTAGTAAATAATTGTTTTCTTCTTTCTTTCAGGGCTTCCAGATCTAAAAAAAGTGGTAGTGATTCCATACGTCTCATCAAGAGAAACCATAGATATTTCCAAGATTCCAAACAGGTAATGGGAGCTTGTGAGCTGTGAGTGTCCAAACTAGGCATGAGATGGATATTGATAGCTATGGAAACTGCCTGACTGACCTCTTGACCTTGGAAAAAATGGGATTTAGTCAGATTTAATGTGGTCCATCTTCATACTGGAAACAGAAGTGTAGTGTAGGTTGCTGCAGATGTTTTGCTCCTACAAAACCATCGTTGGTATTACTGGCTCTCAAATGAAGGCACAATTCAGTAGGACATAGCAGGGAGAACAAAGCTTCCTGAGCTGAATAATTAATAATCTAAATGACATTTTTAGAGTTTCTTTTGCTTACTTACTGATTTGCATTATGTATGTTTAAACACTTTTGGGAAATTATTGAGTCCCAGGGTTAGACTCAGTTTGTTTCTGTCTGCTTTGAACTGTTAAGACTGGTAGCTGGTCACAGGGGCAGGTTTATAGGTTTGATTTTTGTGGTGTTCAGTCTAAAGATTATACTAATGGTTTATTTTCAAACAGAAAAGGAAGCAAAATAATTAGCAATTCAAAGAGTAGACTAGAAATAGAGATTATATACATAGTTTGGGTATATGGCTTATTGTAAATGAGCTGTTGAATACAGAGGTAATCTTATGTATGGGCTGGGGTAATGCTTTCAGAAGTTTCTGCAATGTTCCTTTTTTTCCCCCCCTCTTGTGCAGTGTCTTTTTAGAAGACTTCCTGGCTACTGGGAAAGGAGACCAGGCTCCCCAGCTGGAGTTTGAGCAGCTGCCTTTCAGTCATCCTCTCTTCATCATGTATTCATCGGGCACAACAGGGGCACCGAAATGCATGGTGCATTCAGCAGGGGTATGTCTTCCCTCCTGGAGCTGCACTGCCTGTACTTAACTCCCTGGATTACATCTTCCCTTTAACAGCATCATACCATGGTGTACTTTAAGGAAGAATTGATTGCTGACAGTGTTTCAGTAACTTGCAGTGAACCTTTTTACTTATAAGTGGCTGTTTGAAAGCAAATATGGATTGCTATAAAATATATTGGTTTAGAGATCAGTGTGGAGACCTTTCAGATTTCTGGCAGCAAGTATCAGTCACAAAAACATCACTAGAACTGGCCTAACTGATACTTGTAGAGGAAAGGCCAAAAACCTTGAATTGGGTGTTTGGAACTGATTTTTGGACTCTGCCAAGCTAAGGCCCATAGGGAGCTTGCAGTTTTTATAATCTAGATTATTTTTTGCTTTAAACTGTATTCTGTGTTTATTAGTTCAGAGTATGTTATTCCCATCAATCCTTTTTTTTTAAGGAAGGAAGCCAGAAGGTTACCATCCCCTTGAGTGTAGGTTTTGCTTTGTATGGAAACTTTGCTTTAGGCCATGTCTTGTTATGGCTAAAGGTGTATATGATATTAGTGCCAAAATGGCCTGTGCTCTTGTTATTTCTGCTTACTACTGATGTTCTCAAGCTCTTAAAGTAGAGGAAGTGACTCCAGCAGTCATAGTGTTGAAACTTTAACTCTTCCATTAGTGTAATCCTTAAAAGGCAGGGCTTTTTCCCCCTCAAGGCAGGCAGGATGTGTTGAACAGTGCAATTGTACCAACATGTGTAAATGGAACTGCACAACTTCTAGCCAGAGTCCATCATTTCTGCTGTTTGCTCTGAAAGTCAGGATGAGCATCCTGCAAGGCTGGGTGGCCTGAGGGCAGGATCCTTTGATACTGTGCCCATAGTGTGTATGTTCTTGCCTCTCTTTGATGGCAAGGACTGGAGGATTTGCCCACAGACAAATCCCCTGCTGCCCGTAAACACTCTGCTTTATATATTATCAATAGGAGTTCATACCAGGCAGCATGTGATACACAAAATGGTCCCACTGGGACACATCCAGTGTTTGTGAAGAAGGTATATTTTGTGGTTTGACAGCTGTTTTGAAGCTGTGCTGGCTTTAGACTGGTTAAGTACTTGCAGGGGTGGATTAGTAAAAACAGGATGGGTGTTTTGTTCAGTGATGGGTGATAAACAGTAGAGATGAAAACATAGATGTAGATCAGACAGCAGGACTCTGCAACAAAGTTCTTTCTTTTCCCATGTTACCTGTGTTGCTGCTTAGCTGAATCATTGCTCTGGTCTCCATCTTTTCAGTTTGTACAGAGCTACCTTAGAGTTTAGGTACAGATTACTCATCCTTGCTGGGGAGGAGAGGAGGTAATGGATGGATGAATAGGTTTGTAATGATTCTGTTCCTATTGAGCAGCTCTAGTTCTGTGTTGCAGGGTGACTTTTTTCCCCTTAAGTTCTAGAAATTGCCTAAAAGCAAGTTGTTTCATCAGAGGCCGCAGGAGTTGCATGTTTTGTATGTGTCAGTGTGAATAGGGCCTGCAAAAAGTCCATGCAAATAAATTCTTAGATGCCTTCTACACACTTGGTTGGGTTCCTCTGTTTGTTCTTGGCATAATCTTGTTTCCACTGGAATTAATAGTAGGATTCTTAGTGATTTCTACAAAAGCAAAAGTAGTCCACCATCTTTGTTTCATTTTCCAGCCTTACATAAACTCAAGTTTGGTTTTGGTAATTAAAACAGCAAGAAGAGATGACATTTCAATGAAGACATTTCAAGTATTGCTTATTTATAGCATGCTTTGATACTGTGTTGTTACTGTAGTGATTTTAGATGCCAATAGGCATCTTACTTTAAATTCACAACTCAGTTTATCTAATTCTGCAGTATGTTTCTGGTCTATTTTCCCTGCACATATTCTGTTTTCTTGATACACAGTGAAATGACACATTATAAATAAAGAAAATGCAGCCAGGTCATGGGAGATGTTTTAAAAAGTGGTGCCTCAGAGAGAGTAGGCTTTTTCTGGTGTGTATGGTATTGAACAGTTGGGTGTGCTACAGAAAGACATTTGGAGGGTTCTTTTTAATACATTAAACACATTAGTGAGTAATTGTTGTTCTTTAGTCCTAAAAACATTGGTTCTGCTTCTTGCCTCGTTCGTACAGGCCCTTTTTCGGTTATTCCATATTCCAAGCTATCTAAGGAGATAACTTTTTGATAAAATCCGCATCACTTCTTTCCATCTTAAAGACTTGCAAGACATCTGCCCTGCTGCAGACTCCTTGTGCAGCTGCAGGCAAGTCACTTTGAGGATTTTTCATGCTTGGATTCTTTCTGAACAGCATGTAGAGAACACTGCTGGTTTGAGACCAGGCTGAGCAGCCATGAGTAGTTACTCATGGCAGGCTCTCAGCTGTGTAACTGCTTAGCACTGGTCCCTCCTGAGCCACAGTGTGGCCCAGGAGCAGCAGTGCCTGCTGGTTTTTGACACTGCAGATGCTCAGCACTTCACCTGCCTTATGTTGAGCCCACTGAAGACAAGTAGACCAGTAAGTTTTATCAGCTGCCAGATCTGTGTCATGAAATGCTACATGCTTGGGATTTATTTTGAGGGTTGTAAAAGTCCTATAAATAAACAACCCCTATAAATAAACTTGAGAGAGCATCTTGGGCCATAAGCTCTTTGGAACAGCTCTGCCTTCTCCCACAGTACCTTTGTTTCCAGGCTGAGTCTTAACAGGTTTTGCAGGGGAATAGTTCATAGCCTCTACCTGAAGTCATTGTTTTAAAATCCTCTTTTGATCCCAAAACTGTGAAGTAGCAAAAACTGAATGAAGGAAAAAGAGAACCAATACTTATTTTAATAAAATTTGACTTTTAATTTTGCTCTTTCTTGTGGCTCTTTCAGAATCTCCTGCAGGGGCAGTGTGATTTCTTTTTGTAAATGCAGTAATTACGTTAACACCTGCAATTCTGCTGGCAACCTTAACAATTCAGTTAGACACAGTGTTTCTAAGTCCTAAAGGTTTTGGTAATTTTCAGCAGTAGAAGATGGTAGCTATAGCTAGGTGGCAGTGTTGTGACAGCTGAGGGTGTTCAAACAGCAGCAGGTGAATTCAGACCTGATTCCTTTGAGCTGTGAAGCAAAAATAAGATTTACTCCTTTATTTTTATTTAATGTTTTCTGCCTTTTCTCCCGAAGCGTTTGCCAGTTTTATGACTCTCCTTTTTCATTTCAAATGTTTATCTGTAATCTTTTTTCTTTCAGTGTAAATCTTGTTTCATGCTTATGAGGCTGTTAATAGTTTCACCGTAACTCCTTGCATAAATGCAAGAACCATTTTTTATTTTAACATCAGCCACGTTAATTTGTCACTGAGGTGAAGTGTCTTAATGAAGTAGTCTGTAAATTTATTTATCCTAACAAGTTATGCTTTAACGATGATCAGGAAGGTACTTTAGCAGCATTTCCAACAAAAGAAAAGTAATATATTCAAGTACATTATTAATACTGATGATCTGAGCAGTGAGACATTTCACATTGCTAGTCACTTCAGTGCTTACAAGAGATCTCTAGTGTTAGGTGTTATGTCTCCTAGATGTTAATAGATAAGATAATTTGGATACACAGTGCTAATGTATAGCAGCTGCTGCAGTTTATGGCAGCTCTCAGTCCTTCATTCCTCCCAGTTGCCCAAACACGCTGAAAATGAAACTCTGTCAAAGGGCTTATCTTGGAAAATCTGACTGGTAAAAGCCTGCTGTTTAAAATGATGGTCTGCATGGAGTACTCTGCAACTCTGATGGCTGTGCAGAGTTGAAAGTCAGGGAAGTTATTTATTCCATGGATTAAAAGTGATGTGCCATGGGAATTGCTGAGGTCTAATGAGAGAGGCTGAAAAGTTATGTGAGAATGAGGAATGCAATTGCTGCTGCAGTAAATAGACCCTGGGATTTACTTCAGTTGTAGTTAAAGGAAATACTTGCTTTAATCCTGCAGTACATCCTGCAAAGTATTGACTACATTAGTAATTTTTAAGTCTTAATGTGCTGTCGGAGTTTTGCTTTTCACTTACATGATCTTGTATTTTTCTTTCGCTGTCTTTGCAGGGCACACTAATACAGCACCTGAAGGAACACATTCTTCATGGCAACATGACCAGCAGTGATGTGATTATGTACTACACAACGGCAAGTGGGGCTTAAGGCACTTCTAAAATCACTATAATAAATCTTTCTTATAAAGATGAGAACTTTTCATACAAATCTACAAGTACCTTTTAAAGTATTTTAAATGTTTGTTCTGCAAGGGATTGTCCTATGTAACTGAGTTTAAAAAAATTCAGGTAAAATAATAAAATGCAGCCTTTCTGATGAAAGGTCAAACCCATGTTAAATGTTTCTGACCTAACTGGTGAGGAAAATGAATTGATTTTTACAGTCTCTTAGGTTTATTGATCAAACTGCCTCATCAATATCACCTACAAATCAGATTCCAGTTTCCTCCATCATGCAGGGCTACATCATACAGAAGATGAGAATTTCTATTATGTGTCTGTTTTGATGGGGAGGAAAGGAACTGCCCAGCTCTAAATTTTGTAAAGGAAAGGGAGTAAACCCGATCTATGTAAGAGTTCAGATATGGGGTGGGAGTGCTTTTTCTGATGCTGTGATAAAGAAAAATGATTCCAAAGATTCCCACTACTGCAGCTGTTTGAGAAGGCTCATGTCTTTCCTCATGAGTTCCTTTCTGAGCTTTAACACAACTAGTCAGTTTGCAATATCTCCATGGAGGGATCATTGTAATTGCCTTGTCTCAAAGTTGTCTTGTCTCTTGACTCGTGCCTTAAAGCTATGTGTGTAGGGAGGCATGGAATTCCCATCTCATTAGATATTTGTAAGGATAAGTTAGATGAGCATCCATCAGGACCGTGCAGCTGCTCAGTCTTGGACAGGTGAGAGGATAAGCAGTGCTTCAGCCTTATTTGTGGATTCTTAAATAACATGGTTAGACATAGTAAGTGGAGATGGGTGTGAACTCAGGTATTTTAACAGTTTCTTACAGCAGGAAAACTTCAGGCAAGGGAAGCAGAGGGCAGGGTGGTATCTCTGGCATAAGGGCAGGGATCATGCCTTGCTCCAGCTTCTGCCAAGATCCACACCTGTCCATCCTTTTATAGTTGCCTGTAGCTCCTCTACCAGCAAGTGACAGCAGACAGCCCTCCTGATCCTGTGCTAGAGCTGCCAGAACAGCAGACAGGGAGCTGATGAAGATAAACTGATGTAGGTGTCCTCTCTTTTCCAGACTGGCTGGATGATGTGGAATTGGCTAGTGTCTGCACTTGCTACAGGAGCTTCAGTGGTCCTGTATGATGGATCTCCTCTAATTCCTTCACCAAATGTGCTCTGGGACTTGACTGACAGACTAGGGTATGTAAACAAGATTAAACAGAAGGATAATTGCATTTGCTTCTGTCACAATGACCGCATCCAAGCAACCTCACTAAAGGTGTTGTTCCCTTGGTCAGGAACTCATACATAGCATGACATGGTTTGTCTTTTGACTTAGCCTTGATTGGAACTACTTTTAAAATTTTGTGCTAAAAACACTTTTTGAGAGAGCAGGAGAGACAAAGAGCTAACTGTTTCAAATTTGAGTCAAGTATTAGAATTCCAGGCAAACAAAGAGTTCTGGTTCAATAGTCAGTTTTCAAGAGCAGCCTTTTCAAAAGGCAGTAATTGGGAGCAATCTGACGAGTAATTTCTCAGTGCACTCAGAACTTAGTAAATAAGAATCCTTTTTTCAAGCAGCTCAACGTAAGACTCAACATAGAACTGTGGCTTAAAGACATAAATTGACTGGAAAGACTCAGCAGGGTTGCTTGTATTTCCATACTTTGCTTTTTAATCTATAATGCCTAATTCTTGCTGACAAGCTATTCTGTAATTGTTTTATACTGTTTTTTTTCTGCCTGCAAATGCTCAGAGTGCCCTTTCTTGAAGCCTAGAAAAATAGCAGGTATCACATAAAGCACTGTAAAACACTGTGGTGGCATTTAACTTTGTATGCTGGTTGAACTTTGATTTTTTTTTTTGTTTTGTTTTGGTTTTTTTTTTTTATTTTATTTTGTAACTTTCCTATTTTGCCAGCTGGATGTAAGCAGTAGATTTGAATGTTATTACTGGTAAAATAAGTGTAATTTTTAATTGATAATTAAAATTAACTTGGTGGTAGAAAGTGGATGAGTGGAAAAGTGGAAAAGATTCACTTTCCAACTCTTGATAATTAATAATTTAAACCGCACTGTCTCTTGTGACATGTAATATTTAAAGACTGGCATTTTGTCTCTGGCTGTTATAACTGAAAGTTAATGCCTAGTCAAAATGCTTCCAGTAGAGAAACAGCACAAAACAAACCCACAAACTCGAGCCATGCCCCACCCCCTAAAAAAACCCTGGTAGAACAACAGGCAAAAAATCAGAATCGAGAAATAACACAGCTTATTTTTAAGCATTGTTTCTTTTCTACATGCCAAATCTGAGTGAAGATAAATGTGTCTGCATGTCTCACTTTTGTAATCTGGCGCTAAAAGCGGTGGCCATCTGGGTGGTACTTCATCATGCAGTCTGTTCCCAGCTCACTCATATGTTAAATATGTTAAAAAAAGGCTTCAACATGTGAAGACTACCTTGCTTCTTTGGAGATGCACCACACTTGCCTTCAGATACCCTGATGATACTGTAAGAATATGCAATCTCCTACTGCATGGCAAGAACTACTCAAGTGGACATCCATTAAATGATCTGTTGAAGTGAATTAGTGGATGGTGACTAAATGCAGTTATGTAGCATTTGGAAGGGAATAATAGGAGACTTGGCTCTACTGTGCTATAGAGTAAGTGTCAAACATTAAAAATAGAGAAGTATTTTGTATTCTAATGTAAAATAAGCACTGATTGGAGACATGGAAGGAAAGTAAGGGATTACATAAGCATAAAAGTAGTTCACATGGTTGAGGTACATGATAACTGAGGAGCAGTGTCCTGTGGGCTCTTGTGGTGGAAGGTTCCCTGCCCATGGCAGAGGGGTTGGAGCTAGGTGACCTTTAAGGTCCCTTCCAAACCAAAGCATTCTGTGATTGTGTTGTGCTGTTCCCATGTGCCTGGTAAATTGCTCTATGCCACTGATGTGTTTGTGCAAGTAACCTGAGAGCTGAGTCATCCACCTGAATGGGATGCTTTCCTGCAAAGGGAAAGCATCTCCTTTTGATAGTGTTGAAATATCTCCTTGCCTGGAAGTGTTCTACCTTCTATCCTGCCTTTGGAGTAAAAGCCAAGATAGCAGGATCTTATTTTTAAGCTCTACTGGTGTCTGTATTGCCCATGTTCTGTGCACTGAGACTGTAGCCCTTATCCTCATCTGTCTCTGCATTTTCTTGAGTGAGTTTATTTCTGAGTGAGTTTATTGCTGTAATATAAAATGAATTAGCAGAAGGCAGGGAAGAGGATTTCCTGAATGTTAGCAGAAACATTAAACTAGCACTTCTATCAATAGAGTAGGGAAGAGTCACAGCCTTTGTTTCAAGTTCTAATTCCATTGTATTGCAGAGCTCTAAATAGACTTTGCAAGGGCAGGATTGAGTTGTTCAGTTGGGCCAAATTTCCTGTTTGTTTAGGCACCTGCAGTTCAGGCTTTCACCAATGGAAACTGAAAAATCCAATCTCTGGAAAATCACTGAGTGCTGTCTCAGAGTAAAGTACTTTTCATCCAACTGTGCCCTGAAATGGCAAAGTTTTTCTGCGTAAGAGTGTACCAAGGCAACAGCTTTGCGTTACACAGCTTTGTGGCAATTATGGCCCATTAATGAAGTAAACATTATAACATTTTCTGTTGTCTTTGGAGTGTTCTGCACTTACAAATTCCTGTAAGTGAAAGTGAATGATGTTTTCATGAGGTGGGAGAGCTTTGCTTAATATTTAAAGATAGAATGAAAAGTTTCAAAGCTGCAGAAGTGACACGTGATCTGACTAATTTTGATAGTTCAAAAGGATGTGCCTTCCACTTAGAAAGCTTTAAGAGACTGCATTGTTTGACTAATCCACATATAGAGTGTCTAACAGCCTCTGCTTACAGCAGTGGGAATTGCAGGTCTTTGGAATCTTAGCATATTGAAATATGCAAAACATTTAAATTTTTTTTTCCCTCTAGGATCACCATCCTTGGAACGGGTGCAAAATGGCTGGCTGTGCTAGAAGAGAAAAATTTAAAACCATGTAAGCTTCAAAAAGCTGGTGAATCCCTCCTGTCTTCCCTCCTACCTTTCCTCTCCTGGTTTTGGGCCTGTATCTTGTCACAGTCCTTTATGTAATTATGCTGTGTTGTAGTGACAAAGAGTTTTGAAACCCTTGTAAAAATTATACCTTAACCTGTGTTGATTTTTTCCCCTTTCTAAGGTGAAACACACAATCTCCAAACACTCCACACTATCTTGTCTACAGGATCACCACTCAAATCTCAAAGCTACGAGTATGTCTACAAACACATAAAAAGCAGTGTCCTCCTGGGATCCATTTCAGGTGATGCTTTTATACTGCAGCATCTCAGTAATTCTCTTGATTGCCTGTGCATTTCCTTCTTGCTTATTTGTGCTGTATGTTTGGGAAGCTTAAGCCTTGGATCATTTGGGAATGGTTATAGTTAAACTGAAATGAACTGTCTTTTTAGTGCAGAGATTTTTCTGCATAATTCACTGTGCCATAATGAAACTCGTACACTCCAAAAGGTTTTTGGTGGATGTTTTGGATCTTAGCTCTTTTTAAGTATGATCATTTATTTTGACTGGCTGTCCTTAGGGGTGGCAGGGTTGAGATCAAGAAAAGAGTCTATTAACCTGCAGAACATACTGTTCTGCAAATAGCTGACTTTAGCAGAAAATATCTCTTGGAGAATTCCCATTTCAGTTCTTTTGTGCCAAGTAATTGGCACTGCAGACAGATTTTTTGTAAATTATATAATTAGAGAAATATCAAGCCCCCATGCTGTGCAGTTTGTTGTGAGGAGTGCTGAGGCAACTTGTAGTCACATAAGATCCACCACAGCACTCTTCCTTTTGCTTTGTAACAAGGACTGACTCTTTCAAAGGGCTTTTTAACTCAGTTTAGTTTGATTTTTTTTTTTTTTAAAGTATAACCCTTCTGCTGAAGTTCTCAGACTGAGCTCAATAAAAGTAGTGCTGAATCTAGAACTTGCTACTACAGACATTAATAGACTCTAATGCAGAAGCCTATTTTTGAGTAAAGCTAGCATGATTGATTTGTGTCTTAATTCTTCTTCCTTGAAGTCCTAGAAAGACTATAAATATTCCAGTTAAGTAAGCACTTTGACAGTATCTATTTTTCTTAAGATAACTGTTCATCCTATAGGCATGGCTCCCCTCCTGCTATGCTAATAAGATATAAAAGCTAAGTAAATGTTGAGTGGAATAGCTTGACTGGTTACTTTAATCAAAACAAACAAGAAAACGTTTCTAGGTAATTCTCTGAATATCTTAAGTCTGTAAACTAGGGCCTGTTTATTTTCTCATTCTCCTATAAGTGGAAATTTCCTTAAATGAGATTAAAGAAAATGTTGAAAGGAGAAAAGTTATGCCTGAAGGGGTACTTCTGCATGAAAGGCACACATATATAAAGACATATAAAGCAAGGAAGGAAGTCTTTTAATAAAAGTCACAACATTATTGTGGATAATACTGTTTGGTTTATGGTGCTTAATGTGGATCAGAAGCATTTGGCAAAGGTGGCAGTTTACTGTTCTAGAGTTCAAAGTACTGTATACTCTAAATGGACTTCTTTTATTATAGGTGGAACAGATATCATTTCATGTTTCATGGGTCAGAATGTTACAGTTCCAGTTTACAAAGGAGAAATTCAGGCCAGAAATCTTGGAATGGCTGTAGAAGCGTGGAACGATGAAGGTAACTATTATCCAAAACACTATGCATGCTTATAAAACAAAGTAGTTACGTGACCTTAATTTTCATTCATCAGATGGGTCAACAGTCAGCTGTTAATGTGTGATTCCACTTTAGAAACCTGTTCCACAAAAGCTGCATATGGATCCACCTGATCTGGATTTTAAGGGACTCCAGTGAAGATAATAGTCCTTCCTTTTCTATTACTCTGCTAAAGCTCATCAAGGCCAAATTCCAGCTTTTGGTGTGTTCCCTAGCTGTGTTGCTGGGCATGCCAGGCTGGCTTCCACTCTGTGGTGTAACTCTCCTGAAGTTACTGAGGTTAAGATAGGGATGATCTTAGTAACTGAACACCAGTTGAAACCAAGACCAACAGTCACAGCATGTCTCATACTTACACCAACATCTGGCTGTAATAATAAGTGAAAACTGTAGGTGCTCTTTGCTTTGGTACCCTCTTATTTACAGAAGGGAAATGCAAAAACCACTTCTTCCTTTGTAAACAGGAAAACCAGTTTGGGGTGAAAGTGGAGAGCTGGTTTGTACCAAGCCTATTCCCTGTCAGCCCACACACTTCTGGAATGATGAGAATGGAAGCAAATACAGGAAGGCTTATTTCTCAAAATTCCCAGGTATGTCATGAAGGGCTTTGGATACTGCTCAGACTGGCCAAGGATCCAGATTGTGTTGCTGTTCCTAGCAAGGCACAGGTTTATTTGCTATTGCCCAGTGACAGGCACGTGCAGCTTTGAATTTCGATTCCCAGGGTGAGAACCCCACAGAGTGTTTCATATCATCTCACTCTGTTTTCTAGTGCTTTGTTTTGAATATGGATCCAAATCAAACTAGTAAGAACCTCTGCAAGGCTCTAATCCCATTTTGCTGCTTTCATTAGGCAGATCTGACTGTCACAGCCTCCCAGACTGCAGTGCAGACACAGACTGCTTGGCATGAGTGTGAAATGGAAGTGCTGAATAGGTCAGGTAGCAATCAGCTATTAATGAGTCCTACTGCACCTCTGCCAGACTGCTCCTGCCTAGCTGGAGGAGTGAATCCCAAGGGATAAGTGCTGACCTGCTACCTCATTAGCATGAAGATTAAGTATATGCTGCCTCAAACATGCATATTCTTCATTCATAGTCTCCTACAGAGCAAAGGAAGAGGCACTGTGGGCTGGGGCTTTCTTCCTAATAATTGTGGAGGACTCTGCTCATCCAGGGCTTTTCCTGATGTGGCACAGTGATGCTAAAATCCCTGCTGCCTCCTGGGCGGGGATTTTATAAGAGCAGGATCTCCAGCTGCTGTTTTTTGGAGATGGAAGCTTTTTTAAAAATAGCAGCAATACAGAGTAGTTTCACAAGAGAAGTCAGATGTTTAGCAGGAGATAATCTTATAGGAAAATTGAGGGAATGTGGAAGTTGCAGTCTGCATGTAAGCCTGACAGCAGTAAATAGAAAAAATGTGTGTGACAGTTGTTAGACTGAAATCACTGTGGTCCAGAGGTTCTGTCGTTCTTTGTAAATGGACTTAAGGTTGTAACAATTAAGTTAGAAGATGGTCTTACTTGCACATGCATGTGAGGTTGGAATTTTTCTCTAGAAAAGCTTGAGTAGAATTGGCTTGTACTTCTGGTTTTGGCAGGCTGTGTAGCAGTATCAATTTTAAAAATAATACAGAAGTCATTCTAGCTCCGAAAAGTCAAATCAAATTTTACATTAACACAGATCAAGAACATTAAGCACATAAGCTCCCTAGGGAATTGTTGAGACCTATTATGCAAGCCCAGAAAACTTCTTGCACAGAATTTTACATTCTAAAGGAAGTGGATCAAGAAAGACTGGTGGGAATATTGTTACCTTTGTGGAGGATTCTTCCAGTTTGCTCAAAATGTGGTGTTCAGAGGAGCTATTCATCTGCTTTGTAAAAGGATGCTGTATAGTTATGCAAACAAAGAATCAGAAGATAATGTGGAGTTTGATCCTAACGTGTGAGCTGCTCCTGGGTGTGCTAGCTCTTTGTAGTAAATGCAGTATGAATTGTTTGTGTAGTTAAATACTGCTATGCTTGCTGTGGGTAGTTCTCAAAGCATATCTGATAAATTATACTTAAGTATGTATTTTATTAAGTTAATGTGAGTTGAGTTACACAAATGTCTACTGTGACTGGATGAGTAAGAAATCAGCTGCTTAACCTCTGCCATTCCCTAATAGGTGTCTGGGCCCATGGTGATTACTGCAAAATTAATCCCAAGACTGGAGGAATTGTCATGCTGGGCCGCAGGTAAAGTGTTTTGAGTAAACAAGTGCTAAAATTTGCAATCTTCACTTTGGAGTATGATGTCCGTGATTCTGTGTCACACCTGTTAGCTTTATATTTTATTTAATCCAGTACTGTGGATTTCAGACCTTAAATGAATCAGAGCAGCTGGATTAGAGGGAAGGGACTAAATTTCAAAGTTCTACACCACTTTTTGTCTATGTGAACACAAGACAGTATTGGACTTTCTGCTTTCCATGGTTTATAATGATCACTTAATTTCAATTGAGAGTGCAGCACATTCAAGGTGGTGAATTGGGAGATTGTCCTCTGGTCTTGCCTTTAACATCGACTTGTTTTACAGCAAAACTTAATTATGGAAGGTCAGGTATTAAGCTGTGCCTGTTTTAGTGATCATTAGACGTTCAAGATCACAACTGGGGCTGAATTTTCTGCTTGCATTTCAAAGCTGCTGTTTGAAACAAAGTTGAGTGAATGAATACTGTTGAGGTTCTTAGTACAGCTTCCTTTTAATGAGCAGAATGCCTTTTTGAATTAAGTCCTCTTACAGCTCTGTTTCTGATGTGGCTGCACTTTCACTGCCTGAAATGTAGAGAGACTCGGTTAATTGCATCAATTTTTCCTCTTCATCAAACTGTAATCACATTTTAATGCTTCTTTGTTTTGTTTGACTTTTCAGTGATGGTACATTAAATCCAAATGGAGTAAGATTTGGAAGTTCTGAAATCTATAACATAGGTATGAAATCAACTTTCCACCTCTTTCAGCTATGCCATTGTTGCCTTAAATCTGAAATCCAAGCATTATAAAGTGCTTGAAAGGATTAAGTAATCAAAGACTTGCTGTCTTTCAGATGAAAGACAATACAGAGTATATTAGCATTAGCAAAATTTGGTTTTGTGAACTTCAAGTTCTGGTTGCTTTCCTGAAGTATGTGTAGGGTGGGAGATGACTAGTTGAGATTATACAAAAGCAACATCTTAAGGAGCATATAGTAAGGCTTTACAGACTAATAGTATCATGCAGGTTTATAAGAGAACACTTAACTTGTCAGGCTTTTTTTCTCCCCCAGACAAGCTCTTGACATTGTTTTTATTGTACCTTACCTGGTAATTAAGAAGCAGTTCTTGAGCTTGTGCTTTGTGCTTCAAAGATGTTGTGGCAGGTGGTGAAACTGTCCCTGCAAAGGTGCTAATCTGAGACTTAAGCACCTGTTGCCTCTTTGTTCTTGTGTCATCAGGCACATTATTCTCCTGTCTATGCATCAGTGGGAACTGTGAGGAAAGCCAAAGAAAATGGCTTAGTGTAAAAGCTTATCTGTCCCAAAAGCTATAGCCATTTTTTTTTTGTTATGGACCTAAATGTATCCTTAAACCTGGATTTTCACCTGGGCAGGAGTTAAAATTTCAGAGCACCCAGAGGGGAAGCTGAGTGTAGGATAATCTAGGCAGGTTGCTTGTTTGCCCTTGCAGCTCTAGGGGAGGTGATTTTTTTTTTTTTTTGATACAACCACAAAAATGTGCATCACGAATGGTACATAAATACAAACACTAATAAGGACTTCCCCTTTATTTTCAGTGGAAGCCTTTGAGGAGGTTTCTGATAGCCTCTGTGTCCCTCAGTACAACAAAGATGGGGAGGAGAGGGTGATACTCTTCCTGAAGATGGCATCAAACCACACGTTCAGCAAGAGCCTGGTGAAGAGGATCCAGGACGCGATCCGGATCGCGCTCTCCGCCAGGCATGTTCCCAGCCTCATCCTGGAAACCAAAGGCATTCCGGTATGTCATGAAAAATGCTGCCTACTTTTTTCTTTGTCACCTTGAATAGTAATTAAGGAGCAGTTGTCACTGCTCTTCAAACCCACATACATGGAAATTTTAGCATCTCAAAAGTGTATTCGAGCTTTATAAATAGTTTGTCTATGTTGCCTAGCAACATCTTTTCATCTCCTTTTCAGCTAAGCATGGTTTTTGTTTTTTAAATGTGTTGCATTTTCTCAGGAATATATCCGTAGCCTTTTAAAGGAAAATATTAAAAAGGTAACTTAATAGCTTTTCTTGATATCCACAAACTTATTTTGTTTCTGTTTTCCTGTTACAAGTGACATTCTTAGGAAAGCTGAGAGCACCCAGCAAATTCAGAAAATCATTTTGTAAATGATTTCACTTTTACATCTGTTTAGCTGCTTAAATGTAGCTCTATCACTCTTAACTGTAATAGTAATTAAAATTAAATTGTTGTGCTTGTGTGGGAGAAGTTTGTGTAGCTCAGGGTTCTGCATGCTCAGTCTTCTGAAGCTGTTCTGCCACAGTGCTCGTTGTGTGAACTCTTTAGTTAGAATGTCTGTTTTTATAATCTTCTCTAACGCTACAGTCTCCTCAACAGCTCTGAGCAGCAGAATGGGGGTGGAGAGTGTAGGTTTCCCAAGTCCATTTGCACATAAACTTGAGTTCTCCATTTGATACTCTTGATACTCTTTTGCTGCCAGTGTAGGTTTCCCTGTGAAAGTGCTTTAGGGTTCAACATTACCAACCTCTGTGGTCCACATAGTGATCTGGTTCTGATCTGTTATTTCTGCTTCAGGCCACTGTTGGCAAATAGTACTTGGCTCAAAAGAGTGTTAAAAAAAAAAATCCCCTGAAGTTTAGGTTTTCTGGGCTGTAACTCAGCTTCTGCATGAAGTGTTGAACTTTTGAACTGTGTAAATCACCTGAATGTACAGGACAAAGTTGATTGTAGTGAGGTGTTTGTGATGGGCTGCCCCTCAGGAAAGCCTCCTCAGATCATTAATTAGTTCACACATTGACTGAATTGAGAATTGAGTGAATTTTAATTACCTTTCAGATAAATATGCCAGTGGTAAAGTGATCAAAGCTGTCTCCCATCTTCTAAAGTTTGCTTGGAAGGGAAACCTCCTATTTTCTCCTACTTTTAGAAATGTTTGCATCCTCATCTGCAAATACAATCTAATCCTGACACTGATTTCTGGTAGAAATAGTACAGCTGTGGTGAGGTGATTTAGTAATACAAAGAATGGCTTTAATGGGATATCCAGGTGTTTAAAAAAAAAATGCAGTGCAAATCTATCTTGTCTTGTCCTGAGTAAGCATTCTGGTCATCATCAACAAGATTTACTGATTCAAGTAAACAAATTTGCTTTGAACAGTCTGATCTTTGTTTTCTAAAGGGCAGAATTCCCCTGCAGGCCACTGAGATTTTCTGGTTTCTGGGCACTTGTGAAAATTAGTTTGCTAATCATTGAGGAGAAGGAAGAAGAGTGGTTAATCACAGTAGCTCAGGGGGGTTGGATTACACATGACTTCAGTAGATCTAAGAAGGACAAGTTTGGTTTAGCATCAGGATCAATATTGCAAGAGTACATTGAGTTGAGGATTATTTAACTTGGCTCTGAATGATCTCTAATGAAAAATAGTGGTGCCTGGAGTTGAGTTTTCAGTGGTTTTGGAGGCCAGGAACAACCTGAGTTCTTTGATCAGCAGATTGATTAGTAAAGCAGGTGGGGATCCTGTTCCTAGAGCAGACAGACGAAATTAAGGAGATACTTAAAAGTCAGTTTTTCCAAGTTGATGCCCCAAAATGTCTGTGGTATCAGCACAAGGAAAGGGCTAATAAAGCCTTGGTGCCTGTAAAAGCAGAGATTGTCCAAAATGGGCCTTGGCAGCTCCTGTTCACATTGGAGTAGTTGTTCTTTCTCATACTTCACTAGGCAGAAATTGGCGCTCTGATCCCAAAAGGACAACAACTAGGGTTTTGTTTTTCTGCAGTGTCCTTACTTAGAGTAACACAATGTAATAGAATTTGTGTGATACATAAGTAGAGGTGAAACATGTTTGTTGCACTTCATTTTGTTTGTTATGGTTTGTTTTGAAACATTTAACTATAGAAGACCAATTAGGCTCAGTTTCACTTTGCCCTTTTAGAAAAACTGTCCATTTAGGATAAAAAAAAAATCATGGTTTCTTTCTCCCAAATCCCAGTGCAGCTGGGCTTTGTTTTTTTATCCCACCCATACAGAACTAAAAATTGTTTGAAAATTGGATGTGTCAGAACACAAACATTAAATATTTTTAGTGTTTATACCATGATTCTGATCTGGGTTTGTTGTTTGTTTTATATTGGAGCTTGATCGTGTTCTCACAGTATTACCAACAGGAGTAATAAACTAAAATGACATATAAACTCTTTGAATTCCACCTACTCTTCAAGTGATTTTTTCAGAAGAAAGTACTTCAAATGTAACAGAAGAGAAGGCATTGTGCTTAAATTTTGATAGAGTTCTGGGATTGGTGGGGGGGTTTCATGAATATTTCCATAAAGCTGCTACATCAAAAAAAATGTAATTTTATCTTTGCTGGTTTTGTTTTTCAGTATACAATAAATGGGAAAAAAGTGGAAGTAGCTGTGAAGCAAATAATTGCAGGGAAAGAAGTTGAGCAGCGGGGAGCTTTCTCAAACCCAGAGGCTTTGGACCTGTACAAAAATATTCCTGAGCTTCAAGACTATTAAAGTCACTTACTTGGGTTTTTTTGCATCTGTCTTTGTTTTGTGTTTGTTTTGTATATACCAATACTGTATGTAAAGAAAAAGCTCTATTTAATACCAGTGGTTCTTTTAAAAGAAAAAATATTTCATGAAGTGCATTATGAAAGGCTTGGGTAAAGCTTAGCTCCCTTTTATTGGTTAAATATGCCATATATTTTGGTGGGNGAAAGGCTTGGGTAAAGCTTAGCTCCCTTTTATTGGTTAAATATGCCATATATTTTGGTGGGTTTTTTTCCAGCCTGGAAGGTGCATCTTTTCTGGTTAGATTTACATCAGCCCATCAAATGGGAGCACTAATAGTTGCGGTTGCAGATAGAATATTTCTTTCATAAAATATTTCCTTTCTTTTTTTAAACTGGATTTTTAGGAACGTTTTTCAATCCCATGTGTTTCAGTCACCTGTAAGGAACGTACAGTGATTTTAACTCCTTGAACCCTGAAACATGCAAGTGGTTCTATATGTAGTGTGCATTTAAATGTTTTTATAAAGCCAAATCATAATGCACTAAACCCATTTGACTTGACTGAGAGTAATTTCAGTCTTGAAATATCTCACGGTACCCTTGAAGGTAATTGCTGCTTCATTTTGTGATGTAGCCTTCCTATTGTTTTCAACTTTTGGTTGGTAGACTTCTGGGGGCTCAGAAGGTGAGGGAGCAGTTGCCTCCTTGTTGCTGGGGTAACTCCAGGTTATTTCCATGGATTTTGCAGTCATTTCTCTGGATTAACATAATTGCAGCTGAAGAAGACGTTTTGCTTCCTTGGTTGAAGTCCTTTATTGGCTCTAGGGCAGAGATCCCATATTAAGCTAACTGAGGAATTTCAGTGTGTTTGTTTATTAAAAGCTGATGGGTTTTGTAACTTTTTTTACAAAATGTCACATTGAAAGTGAAAGACAACTGTTTTCTAGCTCTGTTTCCTTCCAGTTTATAAAGGGAAAAATACTGTAATGAGCATACTAAAACAGTAAAATGGAAGCACTAAAGTGTTTTGTTTTTCATAAATACAGTTGCAGTAGTTGTACGACCCTCTGGCATCCAGTGTCTCCTGCACTATTTAAATTTTGTGGGTGAAATATTATTGTACTTACAACTGTGTTGAATGCATTCAGCATTGATAAAGAGTTAATTAAAATGAATTGATTCTTTATATATATAATTATATATTACTTCTGTTTCAACTGTTACTGTCTTATTTTTATTTTTCTTTAGAGTGTGTGTCATTTTTAGCTCAATTTGTTACCAATTTTAATGGTTTTAATTCAAGTCTGACTTACTACAAAACTTTCTCTGTCAGTTTTATCCTATTTTCTTGTACAGAGCCCAAGACACTGTGGACACCCCCCACACTCACTGGGGGTTTTAGAAATCCCTCATTAGCAAACGTGGCTTTAAATGTGCTGGTACTTCCTATACTGTACCAAGTCAGCCCATGTTGGCATGATAAATGTGGTAATACAAGTACCAATCACTCAGTAGAAAAGTGTAAAAAAAAATGAGCTACCCAGCTGCCAATAACCTATCATTAAAGGTACTTTTAAATTCCTTCCCCCTCTGGCTTGCTACATATAAATTTTGCATTAACTGTGACTTTGTATTCATTAAAACTTCATTATATTGTTCTTTAATTCATGCAAAATGTGTGGAGTTTACAAAGCCCACAGATCCTTATTAATAAGTCATTTTGGGATATTTAATTAATTAAAGATAGTTTAGAAGCACAGATACTTTAAGAACATATATGATGCCTGGAGGCTGCTTTTTAAATCCTTTATCCTGCTGGAAACACTGGAGAAAGTGTCATTAACGGATATAATTTGATCTCTTGCAAATGTCACATGTTGCAAAGCTTTTCCCAGACATTAGTTAAAAACAAAAATAGAGATCTGCTTCTGTATTGCTCTGTGTACTGGAAGTGACTTTATATGGCCATAAAGCCCTGATGGGTCCTGCAAACTCTGCTGTGCCTCACCTAGTCAAGGGTCTGAGTTTCAGAAATGCTGGATGTTGACAGCTCCTGGAAGCCCAGAGATGAGAAAATCTAGAGATGAGGAAAGGTAAGTGGGTACTTGAAAGGAGGGCTGTGGCAGAGCTGGGAACACCGTCCACAATTCCACAGTGCAGCTCCTCCTGTTCCAAATCCTGTCCTCCAAACATCCAACTTGTATTTGCCTTTGCTTACCCATAGAGTAAGTGACCCATGTCTTTGGATGCTGCCATAGAGCCACGAGGATGGCTGTACTCCCTCCACCTGGGGGTAGGCCAAAATATCCCTGGCACAAAAGCAGGGAGATAAAGTCATCATGACTTGCAAAGGAAGAGGAGAGAGCATCACTTTCTGCTTCCCACCCAGGTGGGTGTTTTCTGGGACTCAGGCAGAGGGGAACTGCAGTCCAATTTGGTTTTAAGGATGTCTTTGCAGACTGGTGGCACCCAAAAGCTTTGCTGCAGGGTCTGGCATGGCACTGAGCTTTGGTACCATGGTGTGAGCAGCAAAAATTCCTGTGAGCACCAGGCTCTGCTGTGTTCCCAAAGCATAAGATGGGCAAACCCTGTAGTGTGTGGCCGAGTTGATGGATCACTGAGCTGCCTCAGGAGTTTTATCCAGGAAGACTTGATGCCTTAGGGCTTTCAGGATGTAATTAGTTGTACCTTGAGTGTGTAGCCCTCTTTTTTTTTTTTTTTTTGTTGCCTATTTATAATTTGAAGTTCACAGTGTTTTGCCTGGAAAGCTCCATGTGCAGATTTTAGTGGGATGTGTGGCATGCAAATAGATCTGGCTCTGGAAATGGCATTAAGCTCTGACTTAAATGTTGAACAGCAAAGCAATTAGAGCAGAGGAACTCCAGGCTAGGTGCTTTTCTTGCTCAGTCCTCAGCAAATTTGAGAGTGACTCTTGAATTATGGGATGGAATCAGCCCATTTGCCCTTGAGAGATGTGGTTTTATCACTCCCCTCTTAGAAATGTGCTTTTGTCAGCTCCTGTTAGAGCAGGTACTTCCCCCTCCCACTACCTTATGATTTCAATTAATTTCCCTGGTTAGTGGTGGTTCTCAACGAAATAAAATGAGCTGGTACACAGCAGCCCAAGCAGGGCATAGCTGATAAAATTGTTTATTGTTATGTGCAAGAGAAATCGGTTGTGTGAATTACTTATTCAGTGGTTTTAAAAACACAGGTAATTGCCTGATGGAATGCAACTTCCCCGGGGCCATTATTGTCTTTCAGTTTAGTGCATACATATTTAAAAGGATTTCATTTATGAGGCAGAGCAGTCAGTCACACAGGTAAATGGGCGTTAAAATTAGATTTAAAATGCATTAGGAAGGAGTACCAGGGTCCGAGTCTGTTCTTGAGACAGAACTTTCAGGGTTTTGGTCTGGGGGTAAACTGGTGTCTATAGGTAATGGGAAAACCAATGTCTATAAGGGAATGCTCTGGCCTGCCTTTGAGACCCTGTTCAGAGGTATTTCAGTACACAGGCAGGCTTTGGTCTTCCTACAGGGGACCTTTGGAGCTCTGCATTGAGCAAGTCTTCCACTGAAATGTTTGAGCTCGTTAGTGCTTTCCTGAGGTGTCAGTCTACTGGCTGGATCTTGTCCTACAGAGCTGAGGATAAATCTGAAATTGCTTAGTGCATCTTTAGCCCTTCGTGAGGAGGATATTTTTAGCTCTTAAATAACCAGGTCTTGGATAGCAACAAGACACAACTTAATTTTCTTCTAGATCTTTTGTAGAAAGAGGAAGGCACGTGTCCTAACCTGTGTTCTTCCAGAAATAAAATCGGGGTAGGCATTGCTGTGGAGCATGGCCATGGTCCAGCATAGCAGCCTCAGAGCTGATGAGAGCACACACATTTTCCTTGCTGGGAATTAGGAGCCTTTTTAGATTCTGATAATGAGATAATCAACATCAATTTGAACATTTTAGCTCTACATGATCTGTGTGCAAAGCAGGGATGACTCTGTTAAGCAGAGGAGAGGGAAGCTGTCTCTGAGATGCTGTTAAGTGAGTCAAAGAGTGTCTCGGAACAATTCCAGTTGCAGAACAATAAGATGTCCCAAAGTATTACTGCAGCAGGCTGCAGCTGTCCACATGATTCCTCACCACTGCCTCTGATGGCCGGAGAAATTCTTCCAAACCACCAGTCAGAGATGAACTCTAGTGATGAACCAGTGTTGGTGGGGTGGGAAAAACCTTGGCATGCCATTGTTTAACTGGGTTGTGTAGAACACCAGTGAGAGCTTAATTGGACCTTGTACTTCTTAATTAGAAGACAGTAATGAATTCCTGTCTTACTGCTTTTGACAAGTGGTTTTGCAAAGTTTAAGAGGCTTATCAGCATTCAGCCTGAGATTCCAGCTGAAAGGATAATGTCCCTTGGAAAAAGACATAATCTCCAGGATCAATAATTAGTTTACAATAGCATTTTAAAGTACACATGTAGAGGTTTGCATCAATAATGAGTCTGCTCAAAAAAAAAAAAATACCCTTTTCAGTTTTGTTCCCTCTTCTGTAGTGATTTAAAGGAAGTTAAGTTTTGGCTGCTATAGGGTAACAGTCCTGCTGGTGGGGATAATCATGGAATCATTGAATGGTTTGTGTTGGAAGGAACCTTAAAGATCACCTACTTTCACCTCCCCATTCTGTTTTAGTTTTACAAAGAGGTTGTTTCTAACATTTCCAGTCTATTGATTCACAGTCTGTGTTTTGACAAGGATTGGGAGGGTATTTCTCACTGTATGGCTCTGTGCCATTAGAAACATGGCTTGGCAATATTGTTCCCCAAAGCCCTGGGGTGGGATTAAGGAATCATTTAGGTTAGAAAAGACCTCTAAGATTGAGTCCAACCATTAACCCAGCACAGTCAAGTCCATCACTAAACCATGTCCATAAGTGCCACCCATTCTGGAAAATGGCTCAATCCCCACCTCAGGAATGAGAGGGCTGTTTATAAAAGCAAGTTCTAAACTGTGGTGAGAGCTGGAAT